AACATAATGGACTCCTACCTGGAGCATGGAAGAGGTCAAAATTGAAGCTGAATTCAATCTCCCACTGATCATAGGATGACATTCTTTCTATGATTCTGATTTATGATTCTGCACTGCAGTTTTAATATAAATAAAAGATGTCCAACTACAAACATTTTTTTAACCTTTCTAAACAATTACATTTTTCTCCAAATTAACTGATTTTTGCAATTTTGTGATGGTTCAGACCTGTTCAGGACCTCACAATACTAAAATTATAGTCTGATAGCTCCATAGACCAGCACGTGAGACATTTGATGTAGTTTCGCATGTTTTTAAGGAATATTAAGGGTTTATGAACAGAATGGACTTTTACATTATGGCCCAGGATGATAGATTTAAAGTGACGGAAGGGCAATATGATCGCCAGGCATTCCTTCTTGATAGTTGAATAATTCAGCTCAGCCCATTGAATTTTTTACTGAAGTAGCCTACGTGAGAAAACTCTGTTCTTTACCTGTCTGATCCAGCACAATCATTTGAAGCATCAGTATATAAATGGGGCTGCAAAATCTGGGTGTTTTAACAAAGGTGGGCTTGTTAGCAATACTTTCAATTCCTCAAAAGTCCTTTGACATTGGTCACTCCACATAAAGATACTTTCCTTTTTATTTAGATTGATTAAAAGTAGGGCTATATCTGAAAAGCCAGGGATGAAGTGCAAAAGAAACCAACCATCCCCAAAAAACTACATACACCTTTAATATTATGGGGAGGTGCAACTTCATGTTTGGTGCACACTTTGCCAGGGTCTCGGAGAATTCCTTCACAACTAATAATATGCCCCAAATATCGCACTTCCCTAACTGTAAATCTACTCTTTTCTGGGTTTAGTTTTAAGTTGGTACTGTGGAAAATCTCAATGACCCTATCCAGGAGTACAAGCTGCTCATCTGAAGATTTTGAGAAGAGAACCACATCATCCTGAAACACAAAGCAATTAATACCAATAAATTGTCCCATCACATATTGGAAAAATTGTCCACTATTCTTCTCTACTTGGGCTAGGGACACATTTGGTATTTCCCCCAAAGGGGTTGAAAAGGCATACATATGCCACACAGAAGGATCGAGCTTAATCTGAAAATACCCAGATTTGAAGTCTAGCACAGAAAGTGCTTTTGTGGAATTTACTCATGATTTCGTCAATGTGGTATAAGGGAAACTCTTGTAGAATGGTAACAAAAATCACTGGTAACATAGTTATAACAGAAATCAGTGGCAGACAATGGCATAAATATGCACTGATTGCAACATATACTATATATGGTACCAGGAAAGACTGTAACTAGTATTTACAAACTAACTTAAAATAAGGGAAGAGGGAAGTTAACAGGGAGAGTGACAAATGGTGAAACAGATTATAGAAAAGAGTGAAATACCCAGGATGTATGGAACTTTTCACAATTTCAGTGGGAGGCCATGTGGAACTTGCTCAGACTGATGGCTTGTTGTTCTTCCTTTATACCTAGTCAACACTCCTTTTATTGTGGCTATGAAAAAGTCAAGTTCTTATCGGGCTAGCCTATTCCTCCAGTCTAGCTGCTCTTGAAAACATGGAGCACCATCTTTCACATTTGTCTACTCTGAGGATCAGTTGAAAGAAGTTTCCACTCACTTTCACTCGTGCCTCAGGTCCTCTTTCTCTCTTTGTTTTCTGTAGTTCCACAAATTGGTCCTCACCACCCAAGGGAAAAGAGTACACCACCGTATACAGTAAAGTCATTTATATATAGTTCCATGATATTTATAAAAATTAAATCTGTTAAATTAACTAAGAAAATGTTTAATTCTGAAATTCATGTCAAATTTTACTAATTTATTATGATTGAACTATTTTGGGATTAAACAACTATTTTTTTGGCCAAATGGCAACAACTCAAAATTTGGCTATAAATTTCATTGCCTAATTTGTTAAAAATGAATACAAAAGTAAATAATAATTTTAAAAAGAAACTAAATTTGTAATATAATAATAATAATAATAATAATAATAATATAATTAAAATACTCAATTGTGTAAAAAATATTTTATGTTATCTTAATTTAGCTACAACTTTTCAGGACCAATTAGCCAAATTAATACAATTTAGAAACTTTTAGCTTAGAATATATCAATAGTGAAGTACATACAATATTATTAAAATTTATGATAAAATAGTCATTTAAAAAGTATTCTGCATGTCTTGTTATTTATGTATTTATCCAGGAACCTATAAATTAATACTTTTATTACAGTAGCACCTTTGAATGTGTAGCATAAAATTTGCTTACGACAAATTTAAACTGTTTAATATATATATTTAAATAACTAGAGTTCATTTAAAAGAAAAAAAACATAAATTAATGATTTAAGTAATTCTAATGTTGTTTGAAAAGTCATTATTATTGAGAAAACAAATAATTTCTTTTACGATAATTTTGTTTGTAAACAACAAAGTTATTTTAAATGTTGATTAATATACAATTTTTTAAAATAGTAATTAAATTATAATCCTGTTTAGAAAGAGATATTTATTTCAATTATTTGAAATAATTATCTGACAGAAGTAAAATGTTGCTGCTGTTAAATTTGAAAAAGAATTGTAAAATTGTAATTTATTATTTTAAAATGATATTTTATCTTAATTGAAGAAATGCACTGATGAAGTAACATTATAAAATTTAGTTATTAATGATGATAAATTTTCTTGTTTTCGCAATAAAGAATAAATTATATTTAAGAAGATTTTGAAACGTTTTTTATTTGTTTTTACTTTTTGAATTTTTTAACAATATCAAAAGCAAAATATAATAATAATCATAAGGAAGCAATTTATATTTTGAAAAACAAAAATATTTTAGACTTCAAACAGAAACTTTTCTTAATAAACACAATCAAGTAATGATTTTAAGCACTAAACACCCATATATCCAATTTAGAAGTATCATACATTTCTGTAAATACAGAAGTTAATTTTACATCAGATACAGATAACGTTTTGTTTTATATTAAATTGTAAAAATTGAAATAAAATTTTAAATGTGATTATTATTGAATTTAATTCATTAAAATTATTATAAATANTGCTAGCAATCGACAGATTCGTCGGATCGTCCGCGAGAAGCCGCCGAAAGCCGTAATCAACGCCCTGGGGCCCACCGAGTGTTTCACCGACAGCGTCCATCCACGAGCGACGAAAACCGACTTTTACGAACTTTATTTCGAACTTTATCCGTGCGCTTTAGGGTGCTACCTCGTCTAACAAGTAATTTGTAAGGAAAATTTCTATGTTTAATAAACGGTTACATGGTAAACCTGTCTCAGGCAGTCAGTCTGCGCCCACACGACAGAACGAACCACTCGGCTGTCGAACACCTCACCCTAATCGGCTGACCTCACATAGGTGGTTTCCTTCTTGTTTTTTGTTCAAATCAGTGTTGTGCACCTGGCTATTGTCAGTGCTGTCATTCATATATTATTGATTTTAAAGCCAGGCATGATAACCTGTTGCTCCCTCCCACCTAACTGGAGCCTTTTTTATTCACAGTCATTTCTTCTGTTAACACTATGTGTTTTTCTCCTTGTGAATGCCCTCCACATGCTTTCTTAGCCTGTCTGACAGCACCTATTTATTTGGTACTCCTGTGTCTTTGTACTCTGGAGATAAGCTATAAACAACTGGTATGCTATAAACACCACTGGTTTGATCTCTCTCTTATTGTTCTTTTGGGTTTTGTTTTGTCATACACTAGGTCTTCTCGCTATAACACCAACTATAACTATTCTTAATACTTTGATTTGACATTTCCATCAGTTTGATAGTCTGTCTTTCAGACAACTCTCTACTTTTCTTTATGGGTTTGCCCTTTTTTGTCTTAGGATGTGTATCAGCGCAGTTGGGAATCCATGTGCTTCAGTGATATTTCTAATAATATTAATCTTCTTATGGTAACTTTCTAAATTGGATGAGTATTCTTTGGTCTTTTAGAGGAGGGTTTTAATAGCTACTACATTGTATTTAAAATGCATGGAAATGGATGTACAGTACATTACATTGAAGTTACTGTGGGCTTTCTATATCAAGTATTTTGAAGGCATCTTATTTTATGTGAATTGAGATATCTAAGTAATTTACTTCATTCCTGCTGACTTGATTGAATCCTGATTGCATAATGAATTGCTACAAACCTGACATTCTAATGATATTTTGTTATGTAGATGACCTCTTTGTAATCTAGAAAATACCTGAGAGATACGTGGACTTCATAAGGGATATGAACCAATTGAGATGCTAGAGTTGATCAGGTATAAAAGTATGTATATATTGTTCAAATGTATTATACATATAGTAAATTGAAACTTAAAAATTACACATACAAATTCACTTGTATAGTGTGCTGCACTGTACTTTGCAAAAACTATATTTGCTCTGAAAGCAAAGAAAAAGTACTTTCACTTACACATTTTTTTTCTACTTCTATGATATTTTTCTCAGTATCCTTGAAAAATGTATAAATGAGTTCATCTGTATATGAATATGGCTATATAGTAAACTAATTATAAATTCAAAGGAAAGTGAAATTTTAAAATTATATTTAAGGAGCATTGGTGCTAAAAAAATTGAGAAGCATTAGTCTAAATAATTTTTGCATAATCTTGGGATTTTATATTGCTAAGTTATTTGAGATAGTTGTACTCCTAACGTCTAACTGGTCTGGTGTCTCAGCAATAAAGATAAAATCTAAAATTTATTCCACTCACAAGAACCAGAATGGAAGAAGAGCAGCCTATAGTGCCTTGTAGTAAAAAAGTTGCAGTCAACAGGGAAGTGAAAAACAAAAAAGAAAAGGAAGAGAGAGAAAAAAAACTAAGGCAGAAGCTTCCAAATTGATATCTTGTATCTTAGAAGATATACTTTTTATTAGTTTTGTATTAACTGTAAAATTTTAAATTCAGGTATCAAAATTTTATCTTGCAGGTTATTCTAGTTTTCGCCGTTTAACTCCAGTTTCTACCAATCCTCCAGTTCAGGTGAATGATTTCAGAGCTTCTGAATTGACTGAACAAATCAGTGAAATATCAATAGAAAAGTCAAAACTTGGTTTAAAAGAAAAACTCCAAGAAGGTAATTTTTGATATTTTAAAATCTACTTAATAAAAAAAAAATTATAAAATAGTTTAGTTTATAATGGAATTTTGCAATTTAAATTTTATTCAAATTACAATATTTACAGAGTTGTTTGCATTTTTAATTGAAAATGAACAATTGATTTAAGAGAAAAATTCACATAAAAAGGCATTAAAGAACATTTTAAGAAATGTTTTAATATCCTGTGAGCGCTTTTGATGTATTTATAAATGTTGTCTTCAGATAGAACCGGAATCAAATAGATTTTCGAACAAGTTTTTAAATTGGAACAAAAATGGCATTAGCCACTTAGAACATAAGTTTAAAATAAAGAATTAGATTTAAAATACACGTAACAGTGTCGCACATGCACCTTACTGCACAGAGAACAAGAATGGCATTAGCCGTTTATAACATAACACAAAACTTTAATACTCTAAGTTAAATGACTAACGCTGTTCTTGTTCTCTGTGCAACACTGTTACACATATTTTCAATCTAATTCTTTATTTTTAAACTTATGTTCTAATTGCCTAATGCCATTTTTGTTCCAATTTAAAAACTTGTTCAAAAATGAGCAATTATTTTTTGACATCATCACAATGCCGGGCTCCAATTTTTTATTTATTTCATTTAAAATATATGCTTACCAGCTCAAATTATTGATAGTTCTGTAGTGTCTTGCCCCTATACTTAATACTTTTTCTTTAACAACAGAGTTATGCTGATCATTTATTAATTGCTTCCAGAGGAAAAGTTTTTAATTGAAATAATGTGACTTCCAGTTTGCATCAGAAGTTTGTATGTACACTCACTGCCAAAAGTTAAGCACAAAGCGATAAACTGCGAAAAAATAGACAAATACAGCTGTGATTGGCACGAAATGCGGCAGGATAGTAGCAAATATGTTTGTGCATGAAACAGCACAAAGAATTACATAGAAAAATGAAAATAATATTGAATTTTCAATATAAGATGTATAAGATAAAGTATAAGATGAAATCATATTGGAATCATTAACAAAACGATGTTTAAATCCAAAACAAACAAACAAACAAACAAAACTGACATCAATAAGGTAAATGGTCACCCCTTATCCTTACACAAAGTTCACAGCATGTAACCATGCTTTCCATAAGGTGATCAACCACTCCAGAATCAAATAAGTGTCATTCCTCCTGTAGAGCAGTTTGCAACTCAGTGAGAGTGGCAGGGGGAAAACGTGCACACACAGCACGGCCGAGGGTATCCCAAAGATTCTCAATGGGATTGAGGTCTGGTGAATACGCCAGCCAATCCATACGCGCGATTCCCTCACTCTCGAGGCAGTCGTCGACGAGAGCAGCTCTACGGGGTCATGCATTATCATCCATTAAAACAAAAGCAGGACCAACTGCTGCAGCAAACAATTTCACAATGGGTTTGAGGACTACATCCCGATACCGGACAGCCATTACAGAACCCCCTCGATTGATGTGCAAGTCGGTGCGATATCCCAAAGAAATGCCTGCCACACCATAATGCTTCCACCTCAGAATGCATGATGCTCGATGATGTTCTGGGGTCAATTGCATGTGCCTTTTTCTTTCCATACTCTTACATGTTTGTAATCTGGCTCCAGGGAAAATTGCAACTCATCCATGAACATAACGTTGCCCCAATCAGACACAGTCCAATTCACATGTTGCAGACACCACTTTAATCGTGTGCCTCTGGATTGGACGGATAGTGGAACACAAATTCATGGTACCCAGACGTACAGTCCGTTCATGTGTAGCCTTCGGCGCACAGTAGCAGCAGATATCGTTTTACCAATGGCTGCTGCAACCATTGATGTCACATGTGTAGAGGTTGCTCTTTGATTCTGCTTGGCTACAACAGCAATATAGTGATCTTCTGCAGGGATCGTAACTCTTGGGCGACCGGCCACAGGTCTTCAGACTACTGTTTGGCTTGTTTGGAATTGTTTCCATAACCGTGAAATGACGGAATGATGAATGCCAAAGAAAAGAGCAACATCTGTGATTGATTGTCCTGCTTCAAGGCATCCCACACACCACCAGCACTCACTGTCTGTCATTCGTATTCTGGAAGTCATAAAAACACATCAGTCATGCACACTAATTGTACAACAGTTCTCCACACTTTTTCTCGGCACTTACATGCAACTCCTCTCACACTTCAGAAGGCTGGCTTCTTATATGACTGCATCTTTTGCATATTTTGTGACACGTAACCATGATTGATAGTAACGTAACATATTTGCATACTTCCACCTACCTCTGCAGTGAATTGCAGCCTCTCAAATGCAGATTGCTTTCCGGACATAAACATTTTCTGCTCCGTGCTTAACTTTTGGCAGTGAGTGTAGTTTAATTGGAGCCTCCTGCCCCTAAAGTTTCCTTATCTGGTCTCAGATTTCATCTATATAACTTTATTCTAGAGATTAAGGAAAAATTGACAGATGACAGTGGGAATATAGATCTACAATGTTTTTAAATTTCAATCCAAAAGTAAACTCAGATGCTTTTAAACTGAACACAAATAATAATTTTTTATCAATAAGATATGAACATATAATTGTAATTAATAATTAATTTTTCTTTCTTTTATTAGAATTTTCAAAATTTCAGTAATGTTGCAAATATGATTTTTAGTTTTCGATATGCTTTAATCTAACGTCTAAAAACATAGAATAATTTAATGTTTCCAAAATTAATTATATAAATTGTAAATGAAAGTATCATTTTCCTCTAAAACATATAAAAATATAATAATATTTTTATTCATAGCTATACTGTACTTGCACTGCAAGAATAAGTAAATTATTTCTTTTAAAAACGTTTGAAAATTTTTAAGTATATAAAAAATAATCATATATATTTTTAAATATCTGATAAGTGTTTCACATTTTGTACACTTCAGTTGTTAAGTGTAACTTAAATATATCACATAAAAGCTGGAATAATATACAACTAATTGCGACACACGTTTCTTACTTTTCCAGCAGTCAGTTGATTAAAAGAATGCAAAAAACAAATGTTTTCAGCCTTTTTAGAAATCTGCTTCAGGTTATTAAGCCATTTGAATAATGGAAAGGTTTCTATGTTTTCTAAACTAGGTCAGCTAAGAACAATTGAAGTTTATAAAGATACTGAACACACCTTACATACTTTTCCAGCAATTAAATTTAATTAAAACAAATGTTTTCAGCCTGATTGATAAACCTTTGTTCTTGTTTACAGTATACTGTATATAGTTGTGTTTTGTTCTGTATCATAGGAAATTTTTCACATTTGATAAATTGCACTAACAATAATTCAAAGTTTGTTTTAGTCTTCTGCAGTTTTGACTTATCATGACTTTACTGTATATGCAAATACAGTGGTACCTCATACTTTGAATGACTCTAACTAGGAATGCTTTAAAGTTCAGACTCCAAATTTGACAAAAATTTGCTTTTATGGCCCTAAATATTTCACAGATAATTTTCCAAAGTTCTTACTTCTCCTCTTACGGAGCCAAACTCTTTGCCCTTCTACCTAAGTGTTGATTTTTTGGTTACAGTAAATCTGGCTTTGGTATTCAGATTTCTCCATCTTCCCAACTTATATGCAGCCTCCTGGATCGTTTTTAGCCTGATCCTTAAGTCTGCTGTTTGTTGCTTAATTTGATTGTCATTTCATTGATCTGACAAAAAGGCAACTGGGAAGTATGGGTCAAAGCCATAAAGTTGAGGTATGGGTTGCATTATTGTACATGAAGAGGAGTGCTGGTGAGATGAATAAATCCCATTTCCTATTATTTCCTTTAGATATGTGAGCTATTACATTGCAAAGCATTTTATTAAATTTCTTGCAAACTGAGTTTGAACAGGGGCAGTATGCCATGGTAATATTATTTTTTATCTGTAAGTGATTGCAAGCATCTTGGAATAGCTGACGTGAAGCTATTCTCACAGTCCAAGATAATAATGTTGGGGCACCCATATCTGCATATTATATGGTCAAAGATAGCTCAGCTATTACCTGTGCTGATTGGTCCTTCATGGGGTTGCTTCAGCAAAATGGTTGTATACATTGATCATAGTAAATACTGTATGGATGAATGGTCACTTGGGGATACATGGAGGGGCCTACAATATCAATTGCAATTTTCTGAAATGGGAATTCCACAGTTCACGTTTCATGAAGTGGTGCGTGGCCATGGTGGAGGTTGTATTTTTGACATATTTTACAACAACGGACAATACGCTTCACTTGGGCTCGGAGGCCTTTTATGTAGTACTAACGATCTATCAGATCATGGGTTTTCTCAATGTTAAGGTGGCCCAAGAGGGGTGAGCAATGAAATACTTTAATCACATCGTCAACCACTTTTTTATACACACACACACACACACACACATCTACTTACCTCCATTTAAATTGGCACACTTTGGTCTACATCAATTGTAGACCAAAGTGTGCCAATTTCATATGCATTTCTTTGATTGAACTGATTTTTCTTCATTAAACAAAAGAATTCATCCTCCTCTTGAGACTTGACTATTCTTCTTCAAAGGGTTTTATTAATAGCATTTAAATTGCTGTCTCGTGGTTCTCCCATAGTCTCAAGGTGCTTGGGACGGTACAATGCATCAGCCACCAGGTTCATTCTCCCCTTCACATGGTTTATACTGTCAGTTTGCCGACTATTAGGAAGAAATCAGTCACTTCCGCGTCAGTGATGGTCTAGGGTCTATCAGCATGTGGGTAGTGGCAGAGGAGACATTGATGACAAGTGTCTAACATAAAACCATTTATTGTAATTCAGGAGAACTTATGCTATACAAATGTTCATATCCAAGGTTGTGTTCAGATGCAATGATCAATTGATAGATAAGAGGAGTCCTTTGGCAGTTGGAGGTGGATGGCAGATGATGGATGGGTACCGTGGCAGAAATGATGAGTTCCATCTGGTGATGAGGAAGATTTGAGTTGGCTGTTTGCAGGGACTTGGTTGTTATCCATACAAGAGACGACAGTTGTTTCGGGCGACGCAGAGGTGGTTTCAACACACAATTGGTGGAAAACTTCATTTAGTGTGTTGACAAACAGCGTCTTGGTTATTAGGAACATTAACTAACTGAGTGTGATGTGTCCTTGATTTTTGAAAATTATATCAATTTCCATCTTTCGATTGGCCATTCCGATTGGGTGATCTTCCTCATCCACGCTTTCTGAATGGCTGATCCCTCATTACTAAACATAATGGACTCCTACCTGGAGCATGGAAGAGGTCAAAATTGAAGCTGAATTCAATCTCCCACTGATCATAGGATGACATTCTTTCTATGATTCTGATTTATGATTCTGCACTGCAGTTTTAATATAAATAAAAGATGTCCAACTACAAACATTTTTTTAACCTTTCTAAACAATTACATTTTTCTCCAAATTAACTGATTTTTGCAATTTTGTGATGGTTCAGACCTGTTCAGGACCTCACAATACTAAAATTATAGTCTGATAGCTCCATAGACCAGCACGTGAGACATTTGATGTAGTTTCGCATGTTTTTAAGGAATATTAAGGGTTTATGAACAGAATGGACTTTTACATTATGGCCCAGGATGATAGATTTAAAGTGACGGAAGGGCAATATGATCGCCAGGCATTCCTTCTTGATAGTTGAATAATTCAGCTCAGCCCATTGAATTTTTTACTGAAGTAGCCTACGTGAGAAAACTCTGTTCTTTACCTGTCTGATCCAGCACAATCATTTGAAGCATCAGTATATAAATGGGGCTGCAAAATCTGGGTGTTTTAACAAAGGTGGGCTTGTTAGCAATACTTTCAATTCCTCAAAAGTCCTTTGACATTGGTCACTCCACATAAAGATACTTTCCTTTTTATTTAGATTGATTAAAAGTAGGGCTATATCTGAAAAGCCAGGGATGAAGTGCAAAAGAAACCAACCATCCCCAAAAAACTACATACACCTTTAATATTATGGGGAGGTGCAACTTCATGTTTGGTGCACACTTTGCCAGGGTCTCGGAGAATTCCTTCACAACTAATAATATGCCCCAAATATCGCACTTCCCTAACTGTAAATCTACTCTTTTCTGGGTTTAGTTTTAAGTTGGTACTGTGGAAAATCTCAATGACCCTATCCAGGAGTACAAGCTGCTCATCTGAAGATTTTGAGAAGAGAACCACATCATCCTGAAACACAAAGCAATTAATACCAATAAATTGTCCCATCACATATTGGAAAAATTGTCCACTATTCTTCTCTACTTGGGCTAGGGACACATTTGGTATTTCCCCCAAAGGGGTTGAAAAGGCATACATATGCCACACAGAAGGATCGAGCTTAATCTGAAAATACCCAGATTTGAAGTCTAGCACAGAAAGTGCTTTTGTGGAATTTACTCATGATTTCGTCAATGTGGTATAAGGGAAACTCTTGTAGAATGGTAACAAAAATCACTGGTAACATAGTTATAACAGAAATCAGTGGCAGACAATGGCATAAATATGCACTGATTGCAACATATACTATATATGGTACCAGGAAAGACTGTAACTAGTATTTACAAACTAACTTAAAATAAGGGAAGAGGGAAGTTAACAGGGAGAGTGACAAATGGTGAAACAGATTATAGAAAAGAGTGAAATACCCAGGATGTATGGAACTTTTCACAATTTCAGTGGGAGGCCATGTGGAACTTGCTCAGACTGATGGCTTGTTGTTCTTCCTTTATACCTAGTCAACACTCCTTTTATTGTGGCTATGAAAAAGTCAAGTTCTTATCGGGCTAGCCTATTCCTCCAGTCTAGCTGCTCTTGAAAACATGGAGCACCATCTTTCACATTTGTCTACTCTGAGGATCAGTTGAAAGAAGTTTCCACTCACTTTCACTCGTGCCTCAGGTCCTCTTTCTCTCTTTGTTTTCTGTAGTTCCACAAATTGGTCCTCACCACCCAAGGGAAAAGAGTACACCACCGTATACAGTAAAGTCATTTATATATAGTTCCATGATATTTATAAAAATTAAATCTGTTAAATTAACTAAGAAAATGTTTAATTCTGAAATTCATGTCAAATTTTACTAATTTATTATGATTGAACTATTTTGGGATTAAACAACTATTTTTTTGGCCAAATGGCAACAACTCAAAATTTGGCTATAAATTTCATTGCCTAATTTGTTAAAAATGAATACAAAAGTAAATAATAATTTTAAAAAGAAACTAAATTTGTAATATAATAATAATAATAATAATAATAATAATATAATTAAAATACTCAATTGTGTAAAAAATATTTTATGTTATCTTAATTTAGCTACAACTTTTCAGGACCAATTAGCCAAATTAATACAATTTAGAAACTTTTAGCTTAGAATATATCAATAGTGAAGTACATACAATATTATTAAAATTTATGATAAAATAGTCATTTAAAAAGTATTCTGCATGTCTTGTTATTTATGTATTTATCCAGGAACCTATAAATTAATACTTTTATTACAGTAGCACCTTTGAATGTGTAGCATAAAATTTGCTTACGACAAATTTAAACTGTTTAATATATATATTTAAATAACTAGAGTTCATTTAAAAGAAAAAAAACATAAATTAATGATTTAAGTAATTCTAATGTTGTTTGAAAAGTCATTATTATTGAGAAAACAAATAATTTCTTTTACGATAATTTTGTTTGTAAACAACAAAGTTATTTTAAATGTTGATTAATATACAATTTTTTAAAATAGTAATTAAATTATAATCCTGTTTAGAAAGAGATATTTATTTCAATTATTTGAAATAATTATCTGACAGAAGTAAAATGTTGCTGCTGTTAAATTTGAAAAAGAATTGTAAAATTGTAATTTATTATTTTAAAATGATATTTTATCTTAATTGAAGAAATGCACTGATGAAGTAACATTATAAAATTTAGTTATTAATGATGATAAATTTTCTTGTTTTCGCAATAAAGAATAAATTATATTTAAGAAGATTTTGAAACGTTTTTTATTTGTTTTTACTTTTTGAATTTTTTAACAATATCAAAAGCAAAATATAATAATAATCATAAGGAAGCAATTTATATTTTGAAAAACAAAAATATTTTAGACTTCAAACAGAAACTTTTCTTAATAAACACAATCAAGTAATGATTTTAAGCACTAAACACCCATATATCCAATTTAGAAGTATCATACATTTCTGTAAATACAGAAGTTAATTTTACATCAGATACAGATAACGTTTTGTTTTATATTAAATTGTAAAAATTGAAATAAAATTTTAAATGTGATTATTATTGAATTTAATTCATTAAAATTATTATAAATAAAAAAATATGTTTTCAAAATTTCAGGAACTTTTGGTCAGATTTATCACGGAATTTTAATAGATGATGACAACAGTGAAAGTAATAATGAACAGCATGTGTTTATTAAAACTGTATCTGGTAAGTGGGAATTACATTATTACATTTAAGAAAGTAAAACGTAAAATATTTTATTTTTCATTTATAACTTAATTATTAATAATTTAGCTAATATTTATGTTTATTAATTACTTAAAATCTTTGTAAGTAAGTAAAAATAGCAATTTTATATTTTAAAGAAAAACTTTGTTTTAAATAATATAAACTGTTAACTTGTATAAGTAACAAATATATATATATATATATATATATATATATATTTACTTGTGGTGTGTTTTTTTTATATTTCTTTAAAAAAATCATCTTAAAAAATTAAAAAACTTCAAGGGTTAATACTGAATACCACTGTCATTTTTTTATCTATAACTGCATTTTATCAGAGACAAAAAACTAACAAAGAAACAAAACAAACAAAAAGAGACAGAAAGACTAACAATTGTAATCCTTAGTAGTGTTTGTCTCTGATAAAATGCAGTTATAGATAAAAAAGATGGTGGTATTTGGTATTAACCCTTGAAGTTTTTTTTAATTTTTTAAGATGATATTTTTAAAGAAATAAACTGTTAAGTTTTTTAATTGCCAATGTCTATTAAGATATAACGGTAAATATAAAATGGAGTTTCAATAAATTTTTAAAAAGTAATAAATGTGGGTAGAAGAAACTCTGTGCAACATTAAAACAGATTTTAATGAATAAACAAACTGTATAATTTAAAATATGCAAGTACATTCAGCAACATACAAGCTTGCCATCATCGGACAAATCAACTGCAGAATGGCAAAGAACAAAATTTGAAAATGTTGGAATAGAACAAAAATGTATTTTTATATTTATTTATTTAAACAACTTTTTCGTTTTATTCTAATATTTTCAAATTTTGTTCTTTTCCATTCTGCATTTGATTTGCCTGATGATGGCAAGTTTGTATATTGCCAAAAGTACTCACATGTTTTGTTAAGTTATATGTTTTTAGTATTTCTTAAAATTTGTTTTAACATCGCCACCAAAATTTTTCTGCTAATTTTTGTTATTAATAATGTAAAATGCCACAAACTTATACTTAAAACAATAATAATTTTATATATCTGATTTTCAGATTTTATTTTTTAAATCATAATTTATATATCTTTTAATTAATTTATTATAATCAATATTTAAGAGATATATAAATTATATACTAAATCATCATAAATAATAGTAATAATTGTGAGATTGTGAGATAATAGATTCAAATCATCAGCTTTTTGGGGACTTTTTATAAAAAGATTACTGTAATTTCTGTATATTGCTTGCAGTGGCGCATAACCTGCATTGGTGTATATTGTACAGAAAATTGCTAAAACAAAAAATGGTTGCATAACCCACACTGCTGTATACTTTACACCTCTAAAATTGAAGTTCAAAACATGTTAGTTAACTAGTATGTAATTTAGAAGGCTTGGTCACAAACATTCTGTTTTTTTTTTTTTTTTTTTCTGATAAAGGAAAAAACTCCTCTGCAAACTGGACTGTTCTGTAACATAAAATGCACTATAAAAAACTTAAGTTCTTCCAGTAACAATGTTTTAATGAAATGTGAATGTTTTCAACCTCCTCCTAAGGTCTGAATTATGTTTAAAGATACATTCTATAACAGAATCTCTTCAGAATTCAAATTTATATTGATAAGTTTGAATAGATTATAAATATGAGTAAACCAATGACAGTCATGTAGGAGACAGATGAATATCAAATGGGTGGTAATTACTTATGAATGTCACTTTTGAATGCAATATGTGAACAAATAGCAAAACATAAACGTGCTTACATTAAATATAGGCATAATCCCACTATATATGTGCTACTGAGAAACGAGAAAGATGCCATAAACAAAGAAAGGAAGCCTGATTTGTAGGATACTCTTGAAGGATGATAGGTTTGATGGAGAACTAGTTTACATAGGTGCCACAAAAAGATCCCTTAAACAGTGCATAAAAGAGCACAAATATGATATCGACAACATGAAACCATCCATCACTATGTCCATACACACCTCTAACAACAATATTGAGGCTAAACTTGACTGGACGAGATTGTTATGTTATACCCAGCATAATGACCGTAGTAGAGATTTAGAGATCTTGGAGAGCTTTAAAACATGCCAATAAGACAACTGTATTAACCAGGTTTTATTTTATATAAAGGTGAAACACAAATTTTGTGCATGTGGCACATACACTTTGATCCAATCTTAACACCCTACTTCCATCCATTTGCAGAATCACACTCCTGAATGGTTCATCATATTTATAACTATTTAAATTTGAATTCTACAGATGTTCCATTTGATACATTCTATTATAGAATATATGCTTTTAAACCTGATGTCTCAGATCTACATAGGACTTCCTGTCATTTTAAAAATAGAATACACCTTTGTTATATAATGCTTTTAGAATTTAAATTATTGAACACCAGGTTTTATTTTATGACATTTGATGAAAATCCAAATCAAAACCAAATGTTATTTAAATTGGCACCCTGTGAGCAAAAAGTTTAAAAAGTTATTTAGCAAATAATGATAATGATGGAGGACCTTTTTAATCATAATTACCATGGGCTTGGCCAAGCCCACAAGGGAAGCCTGACACATCCAGGACATACCACGCATGAAAAACTCCCAGGTTGCTCAATTTATAAATTTAGAACTATGTATTTGTAAAGACTAAAATTTCAGGACCCTTTTTAAACTTTTTTAACGTTTGAAACAAACACTAAAAGTACCTTACTAGGTATTTTTAGTGTTTAATGTTTCAAACATTAAAAAAACATTAATAACACTATTTCTTTTAAGTATGTATGAGTTTTGTTCATTTCTCATCATTCTGGAACTTTTTGCCAAAGTATAAAGAAAGTATTATAAAATATTAGTTTATTTAAACACTTATAATCAAGAATAACCATATTTTTTTAATATTATACACACAAATTATATAGTTTAAATATTATTCATTCTTGTTAATTAAATGAAACATTCTTTTTGTTTCATTTTGTAAATAGATTCTAAATGACAGTTATATTATGTGTGTGTATATATATATATACTACATAAAAAAAAATTATAATTTCAGATCAAGCATCAGAGGTACAAATATCATTATTATTATCAGAAGGGATGATGATGTATGGAATGAACCATAAAAATGTCTTACCTGTCATAGGTGTATGTACTCATAATTTACAGAGGCCATTACTAGTGTATCCATATATGAATCAGGGAAATCTTAAAAAGTTTCTACAGAAGTGTAAATTTTCAGCAGAAGGACATTGCCATGTATGTATTACTATTCAGTATATAGATATTCTTTATAAAGCATTTCATACATATATTTTTTTGTGTATTTTTAAAATTATTACAAAATACTTTATTATTAAAACTAAATCATTTGATATCTGTTATAATAAATAGTGGTGATAAATATATTTATTTTAATTTACTTGTAGTTCAATTTGTTGAAAATATTTTATGAAAACTTGAAATCTTTTTTATGATTTAAAAATTCCAGAAGGTCAAATTAAGAATTTATTCTTTCTGGATATGATAACTAGCAGTTTAAAATATTGCATTATTGAAAGGTTGTTTAGTCTAAAATAATTTTTCCTTTCCTTTGAGGCTATATCCTGCAACAGCATGTAGATGGAATCAGCATCCTCTGGTAAATTAGCCAATTTCACAATAAAATACATAAAGTAAATATTTAAAACATCTTAAATATGAATTCTATATATAACAATATATAAGAATTCTGTTTTGGACTGTCACTGGTGTAAAAGGTGGAAAGAAAGCAAAGATATTTGTGATGTTTAGATATATAAAGATTTGTCATGTATCAACATGATCAAAACAAAAAAATTTCAAATAATAAACAAAAAATCTTGATTATATACAAATAAAAAAAATCGGATGCCAACTTAAAGAATACTAATTGGGAAATTACCCAAATCCCTCACACAAATACTCAATATACAGACGCAAAGAAAAGACAAGAACCATGTTGAAGGCACAACTGCAAAACACTGCAAGACCTAATAAAGACAATCATGAATACACTAAACTTATCCTAACACTTAAAAACTAAAATAAAAAGAAAGGGTTAGTAAGAAGACAGACAGTAGCAAGAGGAAATACTGTGATGGAGAGACAAAGGGTAATCCAGATTATTTGTGTGATCAGTAGAACATGATACCTAAGGAAATTTGACTTCTTTCCCTTTTTCTTTTCTTTTCTTTTTGCAGAGGTGGGGACAACTCCAGTTCTTCATTTTTAACTGTAAATATTTTTATGAAGGCTGATTAAATATTAGCTCTCCATTTCAAAAAGTCAAGTATCCAATATATTCTTTACCCTGATTCAGATCTTCACAAAATTGCCCATTGTGTATGAGAGTCCTCTTTTTTTTGACTTTTCCTCTTCTATTCTCATGTCACCCCTCACCTTGTTTTGTCCATGCTCCAAGCCCACCTTTTTCAAATTTTATCACTCCTTGATTTCTTTTACGTTCAGTCTAACTGGTTCTCCCAAAAGTGATCCAATTCAAAAAAGAGGTAGAATATAGAAAATAACAATAGAACAATAGAAAAAAAAGAAGGCATGTGATATACAACAGTTTTGGAAAAATAGAAAAAAAAGAAGGCAAAACATCAAAAAGAAAAAAAGAGATGAGAGGGGAAGGAATCTTTGAAACTACATAAATTAAGCATTGCTTGCTACATTGTTCAATAAACAAATAGTAACTCTGAATATAAAGTGAATGTTTGTAGCCACGCAGCTGATTTACTCTTTTAATAATGTAATAAAATCATGACTCCTGGAAGAGAATCATCTGTTGAAACAATTGGATTGATTGTAAAACTTCTTGAAGATGGCAATTCGACACAGATTGTTGCAAAAAAGATGTGTGTTGTTTACAGTCAGCTGTATCTAAAATTTGATGCAAGTATAAACAAAATAGGAATATTATAAAAGGAGAACTTACTGGTCAACCATAAAAAACATTAAAGCAACAAGATAGGAAATTAGGCAACTGCCTTGAAATTAGGAAATATACAACAAAGGAGACAATAGAAAGTGGAAAGAAGTAAGTGTTAGTATCTGTGACAGAATAGTGAGAAACTGTTTGAAATAAACAAAATTTTTATATACAAAAGCAAAATGAAAACCAGCACTGTCACCAAAATATAAAATAAGGTTATAGTGGGCCAAAGCAAAACATTCCTGAATTGTAGATGACTGGATGAATGTGATATTTAGTGATGAATCACAAATTTTCATTGGTTATGGAGATGCTGTTGGAACTTTTGTCTGGTACCATTCTAATAAAGCTTATAAAGATGATTGCCTAAAGAAAATGCCAAAATTATTATTTGGATTGCATATTGTTTATTACATTAACAGTTAAATGTTGACATTTTGAAGAACTTTCTTATTTTATCCATTGAAAATGTCTGGTGGTGATGACATTTTCCAAGATGATAATGCATCTTGTCACAGGACTTGAATTGTTAAAAATTTTTTTCAACAGCACATCAACACAACAGATGAATGGACAGCAGTCAGGATCTCAACCTGATAGAAAACATGTGATGAAAATGAAAGAAATTGGTCCGGGAGAAAGCTTTATGCTGCAAATCAGATCTCTTGACAGCTATTTGCGAAAGCTGGAAAGCTATCAATCTCAAATATTTTTTTTTGCGTTAGTGAAATTCATGTCTGAAAGAATTAAAGGCTGTCAGAAAAGCTTGAAATGGAGCAACAAAGTTGACTGATTCCATAATTTTTTTTTCACTTTGATATATAAAATTTAAAAAATACATTTATTTTGATTGCTTAAGTTGTACTTAACATAGGCAAAAGGTTTGACTATTATTGAAAATTTATTTTGTATCAATTGCTCACTTTATTTTCTTATTATATGCATAAAACACTGAAAAAATATCCTCACGATGAAATGATTCCATAATTTTTGCCAGGGGTTGTATTTAATTATAAAAGCATTTAATAAATTTTATTCATTATATTGACTTATTCTTAAAATTATTTAATATTTTAATATTTATAGTTTGTTATATTAACATTTTAGGTATATAATTGGCATTGTTGTTGTCTTTTTACAGTATTTTAAATGTTAGATAATCTGCTGTAACTACTTTCAAAATCTCTCGTTTTATTTGAATAATCACTTAATTTACTTTTATTTCTGTAAACAGTAATTATTAATTAAAATATTAAAACCAAATTCTTTTTTAAATAGACATTACTCAGTCAAGATTTAGTGGCGATGGCAATTCAAATAATTCATGGAATGATTTATTTGCACAAAAAGAAAGTTGTGCATCGAGATTTGGCTACAAGGAATTGTGTGTAAGTATTTTGATTTTATATAGTTAATTTCAAAGTCAAATAAATTTATTAAAATTAAAATTTTTTCACTTTTTTTTCGGAAAGTTAATCCTGAATGACAATTTAATAATTAAATGCCTTAAAATCAATAATAATGATCAAATTTTTTAAGTGTGTTTACAATTAATATGATCTTACTTATACAGTTTTAAAATTACACAATCTTATATTACAAGAAATGAAAATAATAATTATTATGTATACAAAAATTTTAAATAATATACTATAATATGTTTAGATAGAGCAATAAAAAAAAACAAAAAAATTATGCTCTACCTAAAGAAATCAAAAAGTTACCTGTGTTTTTTTTTGCTAGTAACTTTGGATATTTTAAGAAAATAAATTTTTAATATGGTATTTATAGATTTTTATTATAATACAAATTTCATTTCATTTTATTTTTGTTAATTATTAGGAAAAATTTTCTTAATTTTAGTATATCCATATAAAATAAGCCTTGTTTGAATAAGTGTTGTTATTGTAATTATTTATATGTTTGTCAAACTTATTCCTCTGAATTTTAATGTACTTATTTGAAATAATCATTTTTAATTTGAACAAATTATTGTTTATGCACTTATAATGTTAAGGAGGATCACAATTTCTGCATTCAATTTAGTAATTTAATGTTGGTATGCATAAGATTTGATCGAGTTACAAGTAGGGTCAATACATGTTAAAAATGTTCAAATTTATCAATAAGAAAATATAATATATGTATGGTATATGAAGTGTAAAAAACATTAACAATGACAACACACTAATGACCTTCATCTAATTTTTAGAAGTCAAGAAATCCTAAACTATTCAATTTTTATCTTCAAAAGATAAAGAATCTTAAGTTATAAAATTTTTTAATGAGATGGGTAATGCATAAAATAATTTCTGTTTTATAACTTACAAATAAAAATTGCTGAGAAATGGTTGTCTGTTTTTTACTGTTTGCATTTAGCATATTCCTAGCATATAAGATATCTAGAATATATGTAAATGCTAAAACAATCATTTCTTGTCATTTTAGTAGCTGTGTGAAAGGAAAATCCTGTTAGGCACTAAGATGACATTAGAACTGACTAAATGGTACTAAATGCAATTGTTACTCTTATCAGATATTTAATTTAAGTATGAGATCAATATCTTTCTTTGATAATTGAATAGAATGATTTAGTTGTATTATAATAGTAGTCTAATCATGACTGTTATTTTATGAAAACATAAGTGGTTATTTTATATGGCAGATACCATTATGATGCTACTTAGTGACTGTATTTGTCATTTCACTCTAAGCACTTGACAGCATATACTATTAGTAGATAAGTACACTGTCATTTGGAAATATTCTATAGTGTACTTACTACTAATGCTACCAACTACAACGATAAAACTAGATAACTATTTATGATTATTCTCATTTTTAAAATTTGTAATGAGTTTCCTGTATAACTTCACTAGTTATCTTTATTATTCACTTCTTAATTTGAATTTCTTTAGCAGTTATTATATCCAGCAATGAATTATGGGTTCTTCTGTTTAATAAATTTTTAAAGATTTTNAAATTATACCCCAACTTACGCGAATTTGACTTACGCGGTTGCCGCTCGGTCCCACCTATCGCGTAAGTTCAGGGTATTACTGTAATCCATTTAATGGTTAAATTTTACAATTGGGACCCTTCTTTTGCCTCTAAAAGCTCATTTTAGAATTATAAATTCCTCCACACGATACTATCGATAGTGTGGGTGCCTCCATCTTTCTTTCACTGTCATTCCTAAATGCCTACAAACAGCAACACACTCCCATTGCAGAGCAAACTATTAACGAACGCACCCACAAACTGTTACCAGTTGATGATGCTCATGCTGAAGTCATNTTCCTAAATGCCTACAAACAGCAACACACTCCCATTGCAGAGCAAACTATTAACGAACGCACCCACAAACTGTTACCAGTTGATGATGCTCATGCTGAAGTCATCATATAAAATGAATAATTCTCTGGTAAAATATTTACTTAAATAATAAATAAGTATTTTACCTATGAAAAAAAATGAATAATAAATCCAATTTAAATAAGGATTTAACAGAATGTTTTTTAATTTTTGGAACCTAACCCCCCCCTTTTTGCACTAGTTGTTTGTTTTGTATAACACGGATTTGCATAACACGACAATTTTTTGGAACGTAACTCCCGTGTTATATGGGAGTTACCTGTATTAGTTAACCAATATATGTTTGTGTTTCAAGTGATGATATACCAATTTATTAATATTTTTTACAATAGTAAAAATGTATAATTTAAAAATATATTCAGTTTAATCTTGTTTATAATTTAACTATTTTTTTTATGTTGCCATTTAATTATGCCATTGAGGACTCTAATATTTTATTTAAAGTTTATATTTAATTGAATATTTAAATTTAAAAATGAATAATTTTCTATTCTCTGATAACAAAAAATCTGATTTCATTTTTCAGAGTAGATGATTGGCTGCATGTAAAAATAACAGATAATGCATTATCAAGGGATCTGTTTCCAAATGATTATCATTGTTTAGGAGATAATGAAAACAGGCCAGTTAAATGGTTAGCCATAGAAAGTTTATTGAAGAAAGAATTCTCAGCTGCAAGTGATGTGGTGAGCAAAATATTATTTTAAAAAATTAATTGATTATAATCATTAAAAGTAATGCAAGATTGTAGCATAACTGCCTACCTCTAGTCAAATTAATTAATTTCTAATATTTAATATAGAATCTTTACATAGTCCAAGAATTTGGCATATCGTTTGCTGTGTTTATGATATAATGAGCTATGGTTGTTGATGTTTATATGTGACCAGCAGATGAGCCCAGCATTGCCTAGGCAAAAAACAACAACAAAGATTAAGATTATTAAATTATTTCGTACTATTAATCCTCCTATTCTNATGTGGTGAGCAAAATATTATTTTAAAAAATTAAAATATTATATTTTATTAAGCTTACATTTTATTCCTAATTAATTTTAAATGTACAACATTAGCAAAACATTTCTGACTTTTTTTATACTTAATATTATTTTAATATATATCTTTATATCATTAAATAAGTTCAGATAGACAAGAGTCTATGATTTTTATTTCAAAATATTTAAACTTCTTTCAGTTCATTGTAAGCTCTGAGCTTGTAAGCTTTATCTTTAACATTTCTGAAGTGTTAAATTAGTTTTGCATCTAAATTATTTTATTAATAACAGAAAAATAATAAATTAAACTTGGTTATTATTAGTGATCGAATTTTGTACTTGGAAAAACGAAGCTGAAAAAATAGTAATAAAAACTTCAAAAGCAGTAAATTCACAAATAAATTTTTATTGTTAACACAATATTACAAAGAACTGAAAGAGAATAAACAATTAAGTGAACCTCTATAATTTCTTTACTATTTTATTATTTTTGTATTTTTACATAATAAATAGTACTATACAGAGTGCTTCAAAAAATGTTAATGCTTACATGAAGGTGTGCAATCACTGTGGCAGAGTGGGGCCATACCTTTTTGAAAACTCCAAAATCAGGGAGCATATGATGGAGAATTATATGTAGGGTAACCTACCACTACAAATCTGGTGTAACAAATTACAGTGGAACCTTACTTAACGAGCATAATTTATTCCAGAATCGTACTCTTAGTGTGAAACAACTTTTCCCATATAAATTAATGTAAAATATGATTGTGTTCCATGCCAAAAAAATACTCAAATATTTTATGTATAATGTTTATTCAAAGAAAATTATACAATATACATTGTTAAGGATGAATCTCTTCATCTTCTGACACAGAATGAGCCAACCTAAAATGCAAATTTGATTTGCAGAAAACAAAAAAAAAATTACAGATAATATGTCTGATAAACATGCCAAATGATATGCAAAATTCTTGGGTTATGTAAAAACTATAATTAAATATTAGAAATTAATTAATTTCACTAGAGGCAGGCAGTATGCTGTTATCTCGTATTAAATTTAATAATTATAAATAATGAATTTTTAATTTAGACATTTCTGAAATTAAATTTGGAATTAGTCATTAAAAGTAATGCAAGATTGTAGCATAACTGCCTACCTCTAGTCAAATTAATTAATTTCTAATATTTAATTATAGCCTTTACATAGCCCAAGAATTTGGCATATCGTTTGCTGTGTTTATGATATAATGAGCTATGGTTGTTGATGTTTATATGTGACCAGCAGATGAGCCCAGCATTGCCTAGGCAAAAAACAACAACAAAGATTAAGATTATTAAATTATTTCGTACTATTAATCCTCCTATTCTAGTAGCCCAGAATGCCCCCTAGTGGGCGTTCTAGCAGCAGCGGTGTTATTCCATGGTATAAATAATAAATTCCTATTACAAATGAAAATAATAATATACTGAACTTCTCATGGCATATCCTACTAAAATGCAGCCAAAAATGCAAAAAACTGCATCAAGTAATAATATACTAAATTTATTGTTAATTTAAATAATAGCTAGGGGCGTTCCTAGTGGCTGTTTTTGGCATACCATGACAGAACCCAGTTTTTCAGCTTTATATAGTAGATATGTATGAACATAAGTTTGGAAAAATGTATGATCACAAATGGCACTAACAAGCCAGCAGAACAAGTGCTAAACACAGACTAATGGGGCATGCGCACAATCCAGGACTTCCCCTCTCCTCGTCACTTGTTATGCGAAATGGCACTCATTAAGTGAGTCATTTTTTTACAATTTGTTTTATTTGTTATGTGAGATGCTTATTAAGTGAGGTTCCACTGTACTTCCTTATTAGTGTTAACATTTTTTGAAATGCCTTATATAATAGTGTTCATAATATTAATATCCTTATTCTACAATTACAATAAACAAAATCCAGCAAAATAACTCACATAAATTCAGCAAATGTTTTCTTCTGTCTTAACTGGACATTACTGTGAGATATGATAGTATTTTAGTTAGCCACAAAGGCAAACACAACAAAAAACATGCAATAGTTAGGAAAAAGGAATTAATTTATTTACATATGATTTTCTTTAACAGGTATTTGTATGAATGCCAACTTTAGGCTAATTACAATTACACCAGCAGTCACCCAAACCCAATTGTCGGCAAAACAATTACAAAATTTATATACAATTATGACACTGAATTGCAACACAACTAACTATCAATAGTACAAAAAATTATTTGTTACAAATTTTATATCCTTACAACTAATCTTGAAAATGAAACTTACAACTAATGAGAAAATGGACAACAGAGACAAGAAGTAGAAAAATGGAGAATAGGTAAGAACAAACCTATTCTCCATTTTTATAAAGTGGGGCCCCTTTTGAAAGCTATTTGAAGTTGTAACCACTACAACTTCAAACTAGCTTCCAAAAGGAGCCCTACTTTATTCTCTCTTATTAGGAACACCAAGAACCACTCCCTGCCGAGAACCCTCCCAACTTATCGACAACACTTATCAAGGATGTATTCCATCCTGCTCAGGGACAATAGATGCAACAGAACACTGGAGTATGGGGCAACTAGCCAACATATCTCCATCTGTTCGAAATAACACTAGATGGATATAAACAAGGGCCACATCGCTACACCTTTGGTAGCATACACATGTGACCCTGATGTCTTGGTCCATTTTAACCAAATTTCTAATTTTCCATCATTCACAAAACTGGGCACATCTCCATTACCTGGAGCTAATGGAGATTGTGTCTCTTTATGAAGCACAGCCATTAACTTTAATGATGCCAACACTTTTCCAATGCTATGGAGAATATGCCTACAACACCAACACTCCACAACTTATCCTTGGAGATGTTTGTAGACTTACAACAACGCGTTAAGAAAATTAGTGAAATTAGTGCTGTCAAATGGTAAACTGTAGTTATTTGGCCATTTTGTTGTAAGAATACATTTAGAATATGAAATTTTGCATGTTTCCTAGTAGAAGAATTCTACGAAATGTGTCTAAAGGGTCAAAAGGGGCAATAAAATCACAAAAACTCCAAAATTGCAAAAAGTGGCATAATAGGATTAGGATTTATTTCTAGACTTGTTTGATAAAAATATGTTATCAGGAAAGTACTTATCTCTGAGCAGAAAAAAATAGTAATTGCTACCAAATCTGATCTTTAGTTATATATTTTATATACAGGGTGGTCTATTTATAATATTAATTATATTATTGTAAATTGGAGTAAAATATTATTATTTTTCAATAAAGAATCTAAACATTCAAAAAAGGGATCCCATTTGAAAATCTAAAGTTATTTTCATCCCACCCACAAGAGGAGGAGGTAGTTTACTTTCTAAGTGGATCATAAGACTCTTATAAAATAATGAACTTTCATACATTAAATTGAAAAATATGTTATATATTTCAAGAGATATTTGCAATTGACATTATAAATGGACCACCTGTATAATTATATATGAAGTAAAAATAAACAAAACAAAATTTGATTATATATCTTTTGTTAATACTTTAATTTTATTGCTAGCATTTTATATAAATTTACATTTAAATAAAATCAAACTAAAGCAAGCTAAAATATACAGTAGGCACTGCTTATTGTAATCACTTTACTTGCTTAAACTGACCAACTAATAACATTATGCAAATAAGTAAATAAGACTACAATTAGAAGAAATTTTGGTTTCTTTGACCCTAACATTAAAATGACATGTTAAAACAATAACAGTAAATTTTAAAATATATAACTTGAAGGACTTATCCATTATAATTATTATTATTAATGAGCAATTATTTATTTAATTTATTATTTATAGCAACTTAAAAAATTGCATCACGGCATCAAAATGCCGGGCTGCAATTTTTAATTATATTTTTAATTTATTTAATTTAAAACATATTCTCTCCACCTCAAATTTGTACTGTAATGTCTTGCCCCTGTACATCATACCTTTTCTTTAACTATAGAGTTGTGCTGGTCATCTATGAACTGCTTTCAGGGGGAAAGTTTGAATTGAAATGACGTGACTTCTGGTTTGCATTGGAAGTTTGTATACAGTTAATTGGGACCTCTTTTCCCTATGGTTTTCATATCTAGTCTCAGATTTCATCTAACTGTTCTCAAGATTAAGGAAAGACAGATGGATGGACGGTAGTGGGAATTTATAGGTTTACAATTTTTTCAAATTGCAGCTAAATTAAATAATTCATCCAGTATTGTTTGTCTTCTACCAACTTCAACAATAACTAGCATGATGCCAGCAATTTAAACTATCATACTTTAAGCAAATAATGTTAAAACAATTTAAGCACTGATAAGACTAATAACAATAACTTATAATCAACTACATGTTGAGACTGCTAGCATGAAAAGAAAGTGTAAAAAGGCCTATTTACTCAAAGTTTATGATAACACTAACCAGATTCTAATTACAATAAGCAAAGTTTTTATGATATATTATAAATTTTATATGGGACCTGTTATATATTCTGGGACTTGCTAATTTTGATAACATTTTATAATTTTGATTACAGTAAATGGAGTTTACTTTATTAACTTTAATTTTTAATTAATGCTGGTTAATGATCAACAGTATCATTAACTTATGAACATAATAAACTCAACAGCATGATAGTATAGCATTATAGGATTTATTATATAGTAAAGGATATAGCAGTGTAGTATAACAGTATAAATTAATGAATTAATTCTTGATAGTCTATTTCCTTATTAAATGTTTATATATAAAAATAATAAAATATTTTTATATATAAACATTTCTTCAATAATTTCAGAAATCGTGCTTCTCCATGTTATATAGTATTTTCACAATTTCTTATTTTTGTTTTTATCTAGTACTTCTTTTATTAATGATAAACCAAACTAAGTAAGTTCAAAGTACACTTCTGAAAAATTGTAAATTTATAATGTTTGGTTTTATATATTTTGGTGATGTTTAATAATAATACAGTTTGTATGCTTGAGGAATTTATGTAATGTCATATGTCTTACATGGTAACCAGATACTTATATTATTATTATTTTACAGAATAAAGTTTGATTCAAATTTCTGAAATCTAACTCTATAGGAGTTTAATTATTTTTGGAACTTTAACCTTTCATTTTCAGATCTAAATCAAACATATCATAAATAAAATACAACATTTGAATGAATAACAAAAACAAATATCTTTGTGTTTGTTCTTCAATCAAACATGAAAGTTTTTTTTTTTAATTATTACTGTCATTAAGTCAAATTCGGAATGGATAAATAAAAAGATATTGAAAATGTGACATCATCTGTTTTGAGTTTCAAACATCCTTATATTTTAAGAATATAAACATCCTTGATGATGTCACACTTCTTTCTAGTGCCTCCTTTAGCAAATAAACAGTACGGTTATTATTTTCAGACAGAACTGCTTTATTATAACTGTAAAATTTAGAATATGTTAATTTATGTTAAAGATATAATTATACTTTGAAAAATGTAAAGCGATTTGATAGTTTTTGATGAGCTAAAGTGAAATTATTCGTTATTTGAATGCATACAAAGGAAGTGAAATATATTATAGATTTCAAAATTATATATTTCTTGGCAGAATTTTATAACTAATTCTATTTAAAAATGTTTTTAGTGGTCATTTGGAGTTGCAGTCTGGGAATTAATGACTTTAGGCCAACAGCCCTATGTAGAAATTGATCCATTTGAAATGGATGCCTATTTGCGTGATGGATACCGTCTTTCACAACCAATTAATTGTCCAGATGAACTGTAAGTATGATCTCATATAGATTTTTGAAGTATTCAAATTTAATAATTGTGTCTTAAAATCATTAACATTTGAGAATAATAGTTTTAAAAGTATATATCAGAATGAATTTTATTAAAATGTTTATGTTTATAAATTAAACTGTATTTTAATTTTTAAGTACTCTTCATTAGTGATAGTAAATTGATACCTTTGTTGATATACATTATGTTAATGATGATAACAAATCTTGTTATTTGGCAAACGACAAAACTTTTTTGAATGTCAGAATTACCAAATTATATATATATAAACTTACAGATATATTCATACCTTATGTTATTAACAACTTATATCAAAGCTATTAAGCAATACAATCAGTTAATTTTCACTAATTTTAACAGCCACGTTTATTTCTATATAAGTCAAAAGAAGAGAAATCTTCAGCAGAAAATACTCTCTTCTACAACATTTTCCATGGATGGTCATTGATCTATAAAGAACAGAGGACCATATCTCCCCCTAAATATTTTTGTACTAAAACTGTCTCCCTCAATGTATTTTTATTTTACATCATTCTATAAAAATTAAAATTAGAAATGGTATCATACGCAACAGATACATCTTATTTTATACATTCACTCAAAACCCAATAATGAGAGATTTTTCTTACTTGTTGTCTACTCATTCCTCCAATATTTTTAGAGATTGACCCCAATGTAGAAACAAAAATATTACAAAAACAATGTTTCAAAAATAATAATCTTTATATAATCTTTATGGAGAACAAGAATTTATTGTTGGTAAAAATATTTAGCAAATTTATTGTTGGAAGATTCTTCCTTTTTACCAACAATAAATTTGCTAAATATTTGCTGAGATTTAACCTGTATTTTTTTAGTCCTTTTAGTAAAGCTATATATATATACAAATATATAAACAATTACTTGATAAATATATAAAGAGAGGGGAGAAAGATTCATTGATTGAGATTTTCTGGTCTATCTATTAATTATATGTACAGTACACTATGGGCAAAAGAGGTCAAAGCATTTTCTATGTGAACTTTTTCAATGATATTAGTATCATACAAACTTGTTCTTATAAGTTTAATTATTAGTTGTGTGAATAAACTATCAGTAGAAAGTATTTGCAGAATTTTTTTGTCATTTCTTTAATCTCAGGAGGTTCATGAACTATTGTTCATATTGTGAGGGACTAGCCAGGGATACAGAGTTTGTAAAACTCATTTACCGCTTAATCGGCTATTAGTCTGTGAGACTTACCCACAGAGTCAAAAGATGGCTTCCGTAGACTTACAAAATAAAAACAGAGGTTCATATAAAACCCCTGGAAGTTGATTTTTCCTGACACCAGCCTAGATATAGCGTTAGGTGCGCTAGTAACCCTTTTTATAGGAATATCGAGTGGAAAGGTCAGTAAGTGGAGTGGACGTAGGCTTGGAATTTAGCATTAAGGAGAGTCCATGTTAAAATATAACAAAACATTTAATGAAACCAAAATAATAACAAAGATTACAAATTAAAGCTCTTAACTCAAGAGAGAGAGAGAGTTTACATATACACCAAATTATACTACCTCAAACTGAAGTAATGTTCATAGCCGTGTCTTCTATAATGTGGATCAGATAATTAATCTTCTATACGATGAGTATACATCATGTTCCAATGTCTTCTATATGGGATCTTCAATATCATGGGAGGATTCTATATGGAGATCAACGCTTCTGTGGCCAGTTCTTATCTTCAGGGAACTCCGCAAATATTATGTGGCACGTCCTACATCAGGAACCGTGCATAGTTTGTATGGCAATCTTCTTTTTCATAGTCTACCTTGATTGGTGGGAAAATGCTCCTATTTATAGGTGCCTCTCCAGGTGGCCTGCACCGTGTGCAAAACTGATTCATCATGCAAGTCAACTGTCTAAAGGAAGTTCAACTTCCCTTCTTTCCTCGGAAACGAAAAATGTACATCCTTTCTTTGTTTAAAATGTTCTTTTTAAAGGTAATTTTCTTTAAAAATTAACCCCTTAATCTCGATTTTCACAATATAATTAAAGAAGAGATTTGCCAAAAGATTTGATTTGGTTGTCCCATTGTATACAACGGGACAACCAAATCGAAAGTTGCTCAAAAACTGTACACATAATTAATGGTAAGTCTCTCTGTTATGAGAAAAGCACATTCAAAATTATGTGACATCTGTAATAAAAGAACAATTGATTCTGTGTAATAAAGTTGTCAAAATGATAAATAAAAACTGGGTATAAGAAATGTATCCATTTATTACAGCACAGTGTCTTTTTGACATATAAAATTTATTATTCTATTTAAAAATGTCATTCATTTCAGTTGCAATATTTCTATAATAAAAGAATAATTTTAGTTTTTATTATCTGTACGAAAAGTATCTATTTCTCATGGAAATATTTCTTTTTAGGAAAATTCTCTGAATAATGAAAATTTTATTCAACAAATGAAAATACTTTTATGAAATTTTTTATTAAAGACAAAATATTTCTCTTTACAGGTTTTATTTCATTTTTTATTAAGAATATGACAATTTTTTATTTGCAATATTCATACATTTCGCAAAGAATGATAACCCAATAACAATGTATATATAAATTTACCCATTACTACCAAGATATTATCATTATCAAATATTCTCTTTTATGTAAAGATTCCTTATATAATCTTAAATATTTTTCAAATAATTAATACAATTTCTATCTAATAATTTCTATCTAAAAATTCTTTTAATGTAAGAATTTAAAGAAATTTGTATCTGGACACAGATGTATTAGCAAAAATTAATTATTATATTATGATTTCAATTAAAAATAATTATAGTTATTTAAGGGATATAACAAAAGTGAAAAATCACAATATAATACAGCGGCACATTTAGAAATATGGCATCGCTAGGCTTACAATATACAGGCACTTCCAAACTAATAATAATAATAATTGAATTATTCTATTTTATAATTTTAATTCTTCAATAATTGCGTGTTTACAGATTTTTTAAATATCAAAATGACAATAGTCAATAGTGATACCCTCTGTTTTTTAAGGAACAGCTCTGCTTTTCCTAAAAGAACTCCTACCTTTTGGGAAGCAGGGTCTTGTTTAGGAACATTATAAAAAATATTTCGCACTCTTCATGCAAAATATATTCATGTATTAATACTACTATAGCTATATCGTGTGATGTAAATACGGAGGATTCGGATTATCCGAGCCCCGATTAATAGAGGGTCCGCATTATCCGAGACAAACCCATAAGCGAATACACTACATTTCTTATAACTCGTAAAAGCTTTGCTGTGAATCGTGTGTGATATATTCATGCATTTTCATAAAAATTGTAGTGCTGTACTTTTAGTACTTTTAACCTTGACTGTATTGAGAAGTAGCTGATGCTGAGGCAACATTCTTTTTAACTATTTCTAGTCTCACAGATCATAAATCATCGTAAAGACTAAAGATGGTTTATGATTTGTGTTGTGTGTGTCAGGCGAATACCCTGCTCTATGCCTTGCTCTTAAGTACACACTAAAATTTTGACACAGTAATTTTAGAAACATGGGTTTAATATGTTACTCGTTACAGTAAAACACACTTAAAACCTTTTAAACATATTTAAACACTTATACTATTTGTAAATGGCTGTTTAAGTGTTTTGGCTTATGTAAAAAAACATCTGTAACTACTTGGACAAAAGTATAGATGTTTGCATAATTTTATATTTTCAAAAGAAATTAAAATACTGCAACACTACTGAATTTATAAAAACCAATTGTAAATTCAAATTCTCTGAAATTCCAACAAACACACTACTATAAATAATTTTAAAATTATTTTTATTGGTAAAACTTTCTTAGTGTTTTCAAGTATTCTTGCTCATCTTCAAGGGATAAAATTATAAAGTCAAAAAAATGATCAAAAAATACTATCTTTAATCATATTTTATGGTGAAACTTAAGGAAGTTTTTAAAACAAGAAATCACTTTAGTTATTTATATTATTAAATTGCATTTTTTTCAAATAGTCTAACCTAGATTTGTTGAATGAGTGTTTATTAATATACAGTGAATTTTCATTAGTTCGAAGTCTTTTGGCCAATTTGGATTTATTGGATTTTATTGCCATTCCTTAAATGTTAAAATTATGTTAGTTACATTAACTTAAAATTTTAAAACACTTTTGAATAATTTGAGCAAAAATAAATTGTATTATTCATTATAAATGATGATTATGTGAACACCAGAAAGATGATTTGAGCAGCCACCTAATCCATTTTGCTAGCCATATTTTATTATTTACCGTCAACCTTTAACAGAACATTTAGGTAATTTCAACCATTGTCCCAGTATACTATAATATTTTAATAATCTAAAATATATGCAATTTATTCAATAAGTAATCTATCTTATTGCAAGGAACATCTATTAAATTTTGTTTATTCTTTGGCTTGTTTTCCATTATTAGCTATACATTGATTGTCACCACCTATTGAATAGATACCATAATATGTGCCCTTACCGCTGTCACATTCTTTGCTTGCTTTCTTCAGCAAGAAAATCATCTTGTCACTAAGATTTGATATCATGTTCTTACACAGTTATTGTCTTCACGAGAAATTTACATTTGTTAATAAACATCTATTTACTTTTATATATTTAATGAACAGTGAATATAATAAAAAGACTTAAAATGTCATCAAAGTGCTTTGATTTTACACACAAAGTTTACAATAAAAAAATTCATTAAAGTATCAATGTAAGTGACATTTTAATAAACAGACTAGAATAATTTCTAATTAATTTTTGCTGTTACCCCTGTTATGTTCAATATTTATTGATATATAAACATTTATACATATATGAATAGCAAAGGGTAATAACATATTTTATATTTTAAATAAGAAGCATAATTTAAATGTTTGTATAAACAAGTATTTGGTAGCTTCAATAACAAGGAGTAAAAACTGTAGGGATAAACAGTTTTATTTTTCCAAAAATTGTTTAGTTTCTCATTGTCTAGTTAACTCATTTAATAAGGTAATCAATAAATAAAGTAGAATATTTATTCGACAGAATGGTTACGGATGTCACCTAATAGAGACTAATAGTTGCACCTGTTGTGGGAAAGTCGAATTTTTATTGTAGGGGAGGAGAATTCTGTAGATGATAATTTAACGTGTATATGGTATTTGAATTTAATGATAATTCTTCTCTGTAAATTAATATACGTGGAATATTAACATCTTAAATCATATTACTAATTTTGACTGTAAACTGTAGAAAAAAAATCAAAGTAGCTAAGGAGTTATTAACAGACAGGAAAACGTTACACCACTACTAACGTGGATGAAAATTCGGTTGACCTCGATTGAGAACACCAGAAGTTAAGTGCATCCCGTCACTCGCATTACAAAGTGTAATGCGGGTGGAGGGCGTATCTGTAGGTCGTTGCCGTATAGTAGCAAACATCTGAATTTTCGCTACATCTTACGTAGTTGTTTGCAGAAAATAATATTTTTAAGGCTTCCTCGAAAGTATTAGTCATTAAACAGAACACCGTATTTAATTTTATTATTGTTTTCTTCCTTCTGATTTTGACACACAAGTCATTTCGATGCATTTCCAAGAATATCAACATTTTAATTAACAATTAAGTAGTAATAGTTAACTTGGACGTTATATTATTATTCTTAAAAGTGGATTATACCGGATTAAAAATTTATATGGAAAGTTTTCCTAACGTTCACGTAATGATGACAATGGGAATAACATTGAAGCGTAAACAGAATTTTTAAAAAAGAAATGTTTCTCTTCAATACATATTTCATAAGTCACGTCTTATCGATTTATTAGTCTTCTTTGACTGTCGTTTCTCGGAATTCTCTCCTTTGGTGTTTCGATTAACAAGAGCTATTGACAATGACATCTGTCTCCGTCGTTCGATGAATTTAGGATAAAAGAACAGCTTCTGTTACCAACCGCCGTAACAGAGACCTGTCTCCGAGTTTCTTGTCTTCCATTGGCTTTTTTTTTTAGTATCGGTCTGACATTTTTTATGTTCTTTTTCCACTCGATATCCCGTTTTTAATAATTAATATCCCGTAATCGAGGTTGGTTGAATATTTTGGGTTTAACCCTTATAAATAACAACGATAATCGAGTTTATTTGTAGTGTTAAAGCGTTTGTTTTAAAGAATATATATGCAAATGTATAAAGACTTTGAATATTTTCAGATTTGCTGTTATGGCTTGTTGTTGGGCTTCGATTCCCGAGGAGCGACCCACTTTTACGCAACTGCTGGCCTGTCTACAGGACTTTTACGCAGCCTTGGGTCGATACATATGACGACGTCTGTCCCGTGCCATGGTTTCAAAGCATTTTTTTACCGGAACGATTCCCTCGATCGTAGTGTGCGGTGCCGAAATTCGCCATTTGCTCCGGCAATCGAATAAGATCGAACGCTTCGAACTGCCATATTTTGGTTTCACAGTTCCTGTGGATTTTCTTACGATGCCGCCGCGTGGTCTCGGGAAAGAACTGCCGCGTGTATATGTGTACATAAATATTGAATTGGAATATCTTTGTCATCGTAAATGTTTTATTTGTTCCGATAATTCGCCGTCGAGTATATTTAATGAAGAGAATTCGCGATTCTTCTCTATCCGCTCAAAACCAAGAGCTTGGTCCAATTTGCTCAAGGCCCATTTTTTTTAACTATTTATTTCTTCATTTTGTATTATTTTATTACTTTCATTTTAAAATATTACGTCGAATCCACTATAAAAATTCATTTCTTCGGTATCAAACATATATATATATATATATATATATACAATACTTCATTTTTTAAAATGTAGTTTTGTAAGTTTTAATTTTATTAGGCTATATTTTAAGATCCCTCGAATAATTGATAATTTTTTAAATTTCTAATACTAATCAACGGTAAGAAACTTATCGATTCGACTGGCAATCATACTAGAAACTATATTAGTATCATTGTAAATCGAAGTAATGTACGTAAGTTGCCGAATTTCATTGGGTCGTGTGCCATTCTCTAACAACGAACGTGTGAAAACTCCGAGAACGAACGACGAAAATAATCGGATTAACGAAATTCTATATTTTTATTCGATTGGTTACGTTGTTTCCACGGTATTTCGGAAAATGCGTGGCACCCGTCGGATTGGCGAGAGCATTGTATAGAAATCTAAAAAGTTATATTATTCGAGGATCCTATTGAATTTCCGCGTAAAAATTATTTCAATACGTTGGTCGATTTTTATTTTTAGTATATTTAAAGTGTAGGGTGGACCGTTTACGAATGCCAGTCGAATATATAATAAACCACGATACGAGGTATAGGAATCTCGGTATTCCGAACGTTAACAAGTTACGAAGACCGAAAGTTTTCGAAAATAAATAATTTTAATAATATATATATATGAATTTTTGTAAAATTTTAAGATATCTTCACAGTCTTTGCTTCACTCGTCACGTTTAATGAACGATTAATCCACCCGTTTGTTTTTAAAACTCGGCTTTACGTATTTCAAACTCGCGCATCTTGGCATTGTATAGTATAATATTAGGATTTATATTTATATAATATTCATTAATCGTTATTTGTTGTGGCGGATTAATTCATTCTCTAAACAATTTACTTCTTTCACACGTTCGTACCATGTGCTACGCCGATGGTACTTTACGTACGGAGATTAGTTATATTCGAGCGCAGTTCTTTACCCGAGAGTCGTACGGTAAATCGAAGTAAAAAGCACGGGAATAACGTTTGCTAGTCATCGATACCCGAGGGAGATTCTTCCGCGTTAAAATATTTATCGAAGAAATTGTATAGAAACGGTCGTCGGATCGTTGCTGCCGAAGACTCGACTCGTCCACGACGTATGTACACGAGAACAATCAATAAAGTTGTTCGATTTTAAAAAAAGAAAGAAAAGCCACGTCTTCATTGGTCCATAAAAGAATCGGGCACGTTTACATTCATTTAAAAACCATTTTTTAATATTCGTAAAAAAGAAAGTTAGGTAGAAAATATGTACATACATCCAGTAAATCTGTATAAAATAACTTCCATCCGTTAAAAAATATATATACGTCGGATTTATAAAAAATCGTATAAAAGAACCTTTAAAAAAACCTGTTTCGGATTAATCGAACCAGTGAATAACTGTCCTTTGCGTGAGGGAGATTAAAATATTTTGAAGATCCAACGTCTGAAAAAATGAAGTTTAAAAATTAAAAAAAAACAATGAATATCGACTGTGTAATTTATTATTAGCCAGGTTGCGCCCGACGTTTTCATCCGTCAAACGTGAACGTCGAACGTCGAGCGCCGCTTAAGATAGCGGCGTTCGACGTTCGACGTTCACGTTTGAGAGATGAAAAGAGAGGTTGCGGCCGACGTTTTCATCGCGAAAACGTCGGGGGTTCAGCGCCGTCTTCCTGTAATCCTAGAAGTTTGACAATGGCGTTTGGAACGTCAGTGGAATCATGCTCGACGTTCCAAACGCCATTTTCAAACTTCTAGGCTTATAGGAAGACGATGTCGAACGTGCGACGTTTTCGCGATAAAAACTTCAGCCGCAACCTGGCTATTATTATTATTATTATTATTACCTTGGAGTAATCAGTCCATCGATACTGTTTCTTCTTTAACAAATAATTATTATTAATTTTAACGTAGTCGGGTGGCCACGATAAACCCATAATGCGTATTTGTTCGATGTAAACGCGATGGAAATTCGTCTCGAAAGTTTTACTTCCCGAATTTCCTTCCACCGTTAATTTGTCCTGCAAAAAAAAAAAAAAAGGAAAATGTAAAAGAACGAACCAGTCGAAATATTTTACATATTAAACGTTGTAATTATACTTACTTTTAAGTCTGGCTTTTAAAGAGAAATTTATAAACGTAATCGATATTAAAACTTTAATTAAATATTGTGGTAGTCGGCTATCGATTAAAACGGTCCGAATGTAATAAGAGTAATTATAGGAGATCAAATTGACGGAAATTTGAGCCCCTATAATTCGATAAATCCAATCGTTATACGGCCGAATGTAAAGTTTAGAAAATCGTTAATTACGGAGGAAACGAATGCCCATTTCTAGTGTAAAATCCAATTAATGTAGGCCGTAAATCCCGACGTTGTTTATAAAATTTCGCTCTATTATACGCGATATTTCCCAAATTGCATCCGTAGAAATTAGACTTATACAAATGTACAGTAGACCCTCCTATAACGCGTAGATACGTTCCTCGTTATACGAACTTCGCGTTATAGGAACCCGCGTTATAGGGGGTCTACTGTATTTTTTAATTTTCGAATTTTATAGAAGTTACACTACGATTTTAATTGAATAACGTTGATAATACTTACGTCGAAAGCCGCGTATTTTACCAGGATGTATTCGTTTCCTAGATTCGAAACTGACGGAAGAATGTTAAATTTATATGGCGGAATTTAAATAACATAATTTTAATTGCGGAATAAGAAAGACTATTAATTTTACTTCCGTCGTCCCAAAACAGCCATCCTTCCGCTCGTCGGCTTTCGTTCAGGGCCACCAACAATCTCAGAGGATTTCTTCGGCTGAAAGGAAGGAGGAAGAAGTTATATGAAATTACCTTTAAAAACTTCATAATTCTAACAAATTCTCACCCGAGTTCCGTATTTAAGGCGCTCTTCTGAGTGGTGACCACGTGCCCGCCGAACAGGTGAAGATTAATGGGTTTGGCCGAACCGTATAGAGGTGCCGACAAGGTTTCCCATTCACCGTCGCTACTGAATTTTTCTCCCTAAAAGTTTGTGTTTGGAAATCGATACCGTCAAGGCCCAATAGCGCAAAGTGCCAATGGGTTATAGGAAACTTACCGTGTAGTAGTCGTACCAGAAACCCCTGGGGAAGTACGCTTTGACGGAAGTTACGTTCTGTCGAAACAAAACAAAGTAATTAATTTTTAAAGGTAATTGTAATTCGTATTATCGACGAGAAGAAATACTTTTTGTAAGGCCGGCGAAATGAGAAGAGCGGGACCCCACAGGAATTGTTCTTCGATGTTAAAAGTGGTGTTATCTTTAGTAAATCTGTAAAAGAAGGTTTGGAACTTAGAAAGTTTCTTTAAATTTCGGCCCATAAAAAGAAGAAACGATTGTTTACTGATGCCACAGAGGTCGGGCCACCGTCGAACCTCGAACGTGAGCGAAATAAAACAACGTGTATAGATAAGGAAGGAGTTCGTATCTTTTCTCCATCACCCTCCGCACCACTTTGACGAATTCTTTCTTGAAATTTCCCGGACCATCCTCCTAAATCGAAACGTATTTTAGATCCTTCGACATTTTAACGTCGAGCAATTTCGAAAGAAAAGAATCTCGTACGTTAGAATTACAATTGTTGATCCACATTCTGTATCCGGCGGCTTTGTGATGGCGAGACAGGGGATAGAAGGCTCCCAGCTGTAGCCATCTCAGACACAATTCCTCTTCCGGTTCTCCCCGATACCCGCAGATGGCACTTCCCGTCTGTCGGAAGTAGGCATTCTCTTAGGAGCTTCCTCCGTGCCGGGCTTTTATAAAAGGTAAATCCGGCCAGGGATGCACCAATGGCTAATTAGCGTATTGTCGACTTCCTCGCCTCTCGTTAATTATAATTTACGTTTTATTTTCATCGCCCGACTTATCGATTGAAAGGTTTAAAGCGGTGTGTCCCGGCGCGGCGAGTAAACTTAGGAGGAACCGGAACCCGGGTTCCTCTCATCCATTAAAACAGGTAAGAAGAAACACGGCGTTTAATGGTTTCTAAGTTCGGTCTAAACTTTGGGGGAGGGGAAGTCGACGATACTCTTTTAACCACTTTATTTCGGAAAGAGACTTACGAAAGGGATGCCGAAAATGCTGTAATGGAGCAAAGAGGGAATGGACGAGACCATGTCGGACCACGTGCCTTTGTCTTCCCTAATCCAACGTCCCGCGAACCCGCCGCTTCCCGCGAAGGTAGAAGGCGACAGAACCGAAGGACGCGCTCCTTTTAAACTTTTTAAAACTCTGTCGAATACAAAAGCTACCTTTTATTATTTAATTCGGTGGGAAAGTCTGATAAGAAAAGACCGACTTACTTGTACGACACCAGGGCACTCTTGTGTCCGTAAGTGTTGTGCACGTGATAATGACGCTTCCCCCATCCCCAGTGCACCGAATCCATACACAGAGTCTCGTCGTACAAATTTCTTTTCCCCGTTCCTGTAAGAAAAACCCATTAATCCGTTAAATCCTCATTCCTCAAGAAAAACTTAATTAACCGCGGCCGAAATTTCAAAAAATATTTCGCCTATCCACGTCTTTTTCATCAAATAAACCGAAGAAAAATATTTATTCGGCTATTTTTACGGAATACAAAGTATCAAAACGAGGGGGGAGGAATTGTTTTATAATTGCGTACAAATTGCAATCGGTCTTTAAAGTAGAAATCCTTGGTAAGAAACAAAAAAAAACCATTTCTTTGTTTGGTCGACGAGCGGAATTCGGAGATAGAATCGAAACCTCGTTCTTAATTTCTAGTTTAACCTCGGTCGTCAAATTATTTCCTCGTTCGCCCTTTATAACTGCACGCGCTGTTTACCTGTCGTGCTGACGTTAGCGTGCGCTCGAGCCAAGTTTTCCCATCGACGTTTTCACAATCGATAATATCTTCCACCCCACGCGCAACGAATCAGAATGCGGGAAATTTTCATCGGTTGGCCGCGCGTAACGGACGGAACGGCGAAGTTACGTCGCGCCCAAAGAATACGTGCCACGCGACGTTTCGCCATGTTTTTTTTTTTTTTTTTTTTAATTTAAACCTTCGCGGTTTCCATTGTCGTCGGTGCTAACGACCGAACTTCCTAAAAATAGCGCCAGAAAACCTGCGGATGACCGCTAAAAGAACGGAGAAAGACTCTTTTTTTCCGTAATTTTATGATCCTGTTCGTCGCCTTCGGATTTTTGTCGTCTTTGTTAACGGTTACGCGTAGTTTGGCCGGTGTTAACGGCTTGTAAACGGAGACAAAACGAAGTAAAGAATTTGAAAAAGTTACTGGGCACGAAAGGGGGCCTGTTGAGAGTGTCGTCGAGGCATCCTTCCGTAGATCCGTTGGCCGAGTTGAAAGGTTCGTTCCCCTCCTGTAACGGACATTACAACGGACTTAGACTTTGTCTGGGATAAAAAAAAAAAGAACGGCGATCGAATTGTCACCCAACAAACTCACGATCCAGATTCCGTCGAAGTCGAAGGAAGAAGAAAGTCTTCTCAGATTCGTCTTCCACCAATCGGAGGTCAGAGGATTTTCGAAATCCGGATAAACCACTTCTTCTTTGTCCACCTGAAAATTATTATTTTATTTAGCGAAAGGAAAGAAATGATCGTTTACAGAGAAAATATAAAAACCGATAACCTTTCCGATCAGAGGTCTGTTGCTTCTCGTGTCGTTGACGAATACCTTGGCTTTCCTTCCGCTTTGATAAGCGTAATTAAAGTAATCTTGTTTAGTGCATATCGAAGGACGAATACTTATAACTAATTTAATACCGATTTCGTGTAATTCTGTCGACAGGGAAGACAAATTTCCGAACTCCTTGCGAATGGAAAAAGAACACCCCGTAGTGTACTCGGTGTGTACGGATTGGACGTCCTGAAAAATAAAAAATAAAAAAAAAAAAAACATTCGCCGGTTTTACGGGTAGGAAGTCGATGGTTATTAATAAAACACTCCGGTCGTAACACCCCTCCGAGTACCGTACTGTACAGTACATTCCACACACCACGCAACGGTCCGTAAAATAACCGGAAGATTTATTACGGTGTTTTATTTATTATTTACTTGAATAATAGAATTTTTTACTTTACGTAAGTTTGAAGGGAACTCACTCGAGGTATATTTTTCTCTTTTATTATCTCCCCCATCCACTTGACGTGATCGGTGGACAGGTATCCGTCTCTACCCATGTGAAATCCCAGGGACCAATAGGGAGGAAGAGCGGGTCGACCCACAACCTAGAAAAGAAGGGAAAAAAAGACACGGTTCGAACACTCCGTCGGAAACGTATACAAGTCGATCCCCTTATAACACTGTTGATTATTCCGTTTTATATGAATTCCGTGTTGTACGAGTCACTTAGATTTTACAAATACGTGTGCCGGGGTGTGAACGGCTCGCGTATTTGTAAAATCTAAGTGATTCGTACAACACGGAATCCATACAAAACGGAATAAACAAGTGTTATAGGGGGGGTCGACTGTAATCGCTCCAGTTCGGCGTGGTTACCTGGGTGTATTGAGCGACGACGTCCTCCGGAGTGGGACCTAAAAACAGATAAAAATCCAAAATGCCTCCTCCCAGGCGGAAAGTGACGGCCGGAAAAGGGTTCAACTCGATCTCTGAAAATAATTTTCTTTTTTTTACTTTATTTTGGAATTCCGGCGGAGTGGTCCCCCGGACACTTACCCATGGCGTGACCGTTGAGCAGAAGCACTCCGTGCGCATTTCCGTCGTCTTCCACGCACAGGTAGACGGGATGAGCGGACGGACGATCCTTGAAGAGGGGAAAATTATTAAGGAATTTCCACCCAATGAAAGGTAGAGGGAAAAAGACAAACCTTTGAGGCGTGAAGGGTTCGCAGGGTGCTTCGACCAGAAGTTCTGTAGGGACGAAGACTCTCTTCGCCCAAACCGTACAAACGACGGGAGGGAAGTCTTACGGTGATTTGCAGGAACTGGTGGGAGAAGGTGAATCCGGCGGGGGTGGTGTCGAATCTGCAAGGAACGAAGCGCGTCAATCCCCCAGCTGGCGCCGAAAGGAAGAGAAAGAAAAAGGACGTACAGGACGACGTCGGTGGACACTCTCCTGACTTTGACTCCGAAGGGAAGGGCGGCCGAGTGGTACGAGACGGAGTACAACCTGGGACGGTGGCTGGAACGCTCTTCCGGGACGGACGGCGGCTCCACTTCGTGTCTGGCGTTTTGCGGATCGTAAAACTGCGAAAAAGGCAACCACCGTGGATAAGTGACACGTAATGGGGGACAAAAAAGAATGGCGGCGATAAAATAAAACGTCGTACTGTACGATACTGTACGATAAAAGAAACGACAATGTACAGTACTGTACTATAAGTTCCGAGTTTGGGTTGGATAACATCGGCCGAGAAAAGTGGAGGGCGACGGAAGAATTAGCTAAAGTACCAGAAAGAAATATTTTACGAGCACCGGGGGAGAAAATCCCCCTTCCTCCTCCCGGATTAAATCGCGGATAAAGAGGGAAAGGCGCTTTATTTTGGCCAAACGACCGACGGTGGTTACGGGTTTAAAGGGGAAAGCGCCGAAAGATTTCCGCGCCCGTAAGTAAGCGCGGTGGGAAACGAAGACCGGTAGTCGCTGGAAAAAGTAAAAATTCGTAAATAAAATGACAAATAAATAGAATAAATATTTTCGTAGCCGCTAACGACCGGTTCGCTAGACACGAAACGAAAAGTCGTTTCGTTCCTAGACGATCGTGCGGCACGTCGGCGCCCGGTTAAAAAACACAAAAGTAGTATTCCTTCCCCCCCATATAACATTACCCATTCGGTAGCTGGCTGGGCTACGGCACTTAATCTAAAGGTACACTACGGAATCCAAATCCGAGTTTACGGAACCGGTCGAGTTTTCTACCTCTTCGGCCCGTCCACCCCTTTTAAGAAAGGTTTTTTTTTCTCCTCCGTGTTATAATTTGTTGGTTAATCGTCCGGTTAATCGCGCGGGAAGATTCGTCCCCGGAGAATTTTGGCAATAAAATGCCCACTCACGGGCCGGCGGGGGGGAGAGCGGTCACCCAAATATCTCGGTTCCCGGTCGATTTCCGTTTCTCCCCCCCCCGCCCGTCATTCGACAACGGTGGGCCGAGACCCTTTCGGAGTTAAAGGAGCGAAAGGAGAAAATTCTATCGAGAGGATCTCGGGGTGAAAGACGATCCCCGAATGGAAACGAGTGTCGAACTTCCGTTTATTTTTAACCGGGCGAATTTTTTATTCTCCCTCCCTAACTAAGGGTTAGGGAGACGCCGAAATAGGAAAGGTGAACGACCCCCGACCTCCCCTCTGCAACGTGGTTAAAATGCTCGGAAGTCCCGTCTTCGTCCGTGCGTTGGAAAAAGTAAATTTATCGCCCGACGACGCGCGCCGTCGTTAACCACCGCGAGTCCGACCCCCGATCGAACGAGTGGCACGCGGGGCGCGGCTCCGGACCGACGCTTTTTAATCGTTTGGGGATCGATGCGGGGGGAAGGGCGGTCGAAAGCCGCGGACAATAGAAGTCGTTGTGGGAGCCACTTTCGGACGAAAGGAGAACACTCGAAAGGCCAAAGTCGCGTCTAGACGCGCTCTCGACCGAGGACTGAGCGTCGTCCCCGAATCCCATTTACGTCATAAAAGTAAACGGGAGAAAACCAAGAATTAATAAAGGAGGTCACCAACCTTGATCCTGAGTCGATCCCGGGTCTGAAACTCGACTCTGAGGGCCACGTTCCTCAGGTCGTCGCCGTATCTGGAGGGCGACAGCGGACGAACCAGGTTGGTCTCGAATCCGTCGTAGAAGGGAATCCCCTTGTCGGAGGCCGCGTACCCGTAGTTGGAGGGGTAACGACACCGGGGCGTCTCTCCCTTTCGCCAACAGCATCCGCGGGACCCGCACCGATCCTCATCCGCCGTCGGATCCTCCGGGTAACAGTCCAGGGGTTCCCGGGGTTCCTCCGGGCACAGGGGTGTCCAGCGGGTGCGCGCGGGCGGCGGTGCCGACAGAGAAGCCCGTCCTCGGTTGCCGCCTTTGATCAGAGCGTAGTAGACGGGCAGAAACACCACCGACGACAGCAGCAACGCCGCCAACGCCGACAACACCAGCCACCATCTTCCCGGGATCTTGGTCTGGTCGTCGAAGTACCGATCGGTCGGCATGGTCCGGGCTACGTCATCTTCTCCGGGTTACGTCACCTGCAAATCGGAAACGTTCCGTTAACGCTATTACGGACCCGGGGTACAAAGCGGAGGGCCGGAAGGGAAGTCCCTCCGACCGTCTCTCCCTCTCCGGTAAGGCCACAATAGTCGCATCCGCCCCGGCTCACCTGTCGGTCGTCATGACGACGGTCGACGTCGTCTCTTCTCTCGTCCCGGTCTCGTTAAGAAGAAAACCGATCCTTCGCCTCGCGCCCTACCGAAGCCGGAAGTCGAGTCGACCGACGAAACGCCGGAAGGCCGGGGGCGGAGTCGGTGCCTTACCTGCCCCGCGCCGCGACGTCATCGATCGATGAAACGTCGGCGGGAATCGACGGACCGACGCGGCGCTTACTTTTTCCACGCACGACAAAGCGCGCGGCGCACCGCGCACGCGTCGGTCGCGTTCGACGCGTTCGAAGAAGTTTTCGACGAGATTCCCCGGGGAGGAAGAGCGACGTCCTCCACGCTCCGCCCCCGACCGAAGACTAACCAGAACGGGTTAGAAAGGAAGAAAAAGAAAAGGGGGAAACGGTCGACGCCGGAAGGGTCTCGGGTCAAAGACATTTCCAGAATCCAGAAAGCCAAATACCCGAATTGGTCGGTGGGAGCGACTCCCGACACCGAACGGATTTCGGCGCCCACACACTTCCGGTTTGGTCACGGATGGACGGACAAAAAGCTAAAATCCCCGTCCCGAAGGGCGTCGGTTTCGACCGCTTCGAAGCGGAAGCAAAGGGTAGTCGGTATTTAACGGTCGTCGTCCGTCCGAGTGTTAACCCCTACCGGATTCGGCTCCCGTTGGGTGAGGTCCGAGGACTCGGAATTCGAATCCCGATCCTCGGCAACGGAGAAGGACAGTTCGTCCTATGATCGGAGGGAGATCGAATTCAGCTTCGATTGTGACCTTTCTCGCCCTCAGGTAAGAGTCCCGTTACGCTTCGTAACGAGGGACCAACCACACGGAAAGCGTGATTGACGGATAATCACCCAATCAGAATGGCCTAAAGAAAGAACGAAGATTGACGTAATCCCCGACAATCGAGGACACCTGGCACTCGGTTATTTAACCAATGTTTCTCACTCTTTTCCGTTATAACGCCACGAGATCTGTCGGTTCCGAGTTTCGTAAGCCGAAATGTACTGTACAGCGCAGTACATTTGCAGTATACAGTTACAGTACAACACCTTGCCATTGATTATTAGACCCGTGCAAAAAATCTATAATTCCTTAGTTTTTGATGTAATAAATCAATAACAATGCAACTGTTGATAGAATTATTTAAAATATTCACGTTTATGACGTTTTTTGAAATAAAAAGTAATTTTTTTTGCATATAAAATATTTTAATATAATAAAACTTAAAAATTAAAATTAGTATAAAAAGTATGGTAGAAAATAGTACAAAAAGTATGATTTTTGTCGATAGGTTTAATTAAGGTTACCAAACGTCCTACTTTCGGAGGACGTGTCCTACAGTTTGATCTTCACTCCTCTGTCCTCACTCCTTTGAATAAAAACAGCAAATGTCCTACTTTTGGAGGGGATCCGTGCGTAAGGGGCGCATGGATCACCTCCAAAAGTAGGACATTTGAGGGTAGATGGATGAATATAGTCTCCCACATCCACCTATCCACATAGACATACTTCTGTTCGGACTTTCACCTCATCGCGCGCTCCGAACATTTTTCCACGGTTGGTGTAACTGTAACCCTTGTATATACATCATTAAAACGAACTCGTGACAATGACCGTTGGACTTCTTCGCAGTCCGGTATCATTCTTCCGGCACTACGACGACACTACTTTTGGATGTAATCGGTGACCGACTTAACCGAGACATTAGAAGAGTTAAATTATTGGACTGTTCAATTTTTGCCATTCAAAGTTTTTAATTGGATATCACTTACAAAAATCCCTGTCTGGAAGGATGTTATGGAAAGTATTAAATATCTAAATGAAAAGAATATTATAGTTGATAATTCAAAGTGCATAAATCAGTATAGTTCTTTGGATAATCATTTAAAAGAAAATTCTAATTTAAATGAAAAATCAGTAAGTGAAAAATGGCTTGGTTCTTTTTAGGCAACAGACAATCCAGAATTACATTCTGAATTGCTTAAAATTTGCCAATACATGTTTTTAATTCCAGCACACAATGCCACCACCGAAAGGGTATTCTTTTTCCTACAGGAATTGTCCTACTTTTGTATCTGGTTATTTGGTAAACCTAGATTTAATCAACGAGCTAGAATACAGTACGTACTGTACACTGGCTGTGACCAAGGTTACAGACCTCTCGGTGGCTACGACGGGTAGGCCTACTATCACTTTTACACGACCGGTTGAAATATTCTAGCTTTTTGCTTTTGCGCAACAAATGTCACACTCCCCTTGACTAAAAGGAAAATGGCGGACGTGTATTCAATTTTCCTCAATCAAGGCGTGGCTTTGGCCAGTATTACGTGGTATATTTTAGCTCTTTGGGTTTAGTAATTTGGCAAAGTACTGTGTATTTAGTCGATAAACATAAAATGTAAATTTCTCTTCTATTTTCGAAAATAATGACTCGCTTGACTTCCGTCCCTTAGAGTTCCAAGGAGGAAAGAAAAGTTTTTATAACAAAACCTCATAATAGATGGCGCCACACACAATTTTATTCATTTATTATGATTCTAAATAAAAACTCTTAACAGCCGGGAAAGTTATTCAATTTGTTGCTAGATTTTTATTTTTTAAACTGATTTGAAGTTTAAAACAATTTAAATTAGCCTATGAAAGTGGAACGTCGATTTTGTTGGTACGTAAAAAAATTATATAGGCCTGTATTTAGAAAGACTACATTTAATGTGGAAAGAATGGAATGGACGTCATCTAACCGACGTTAAATAAATCGAAATTAAAACTAAAACAAAAAATCTAGCAACGAGTTGCGTGGCTTTTCCAGCTTCATTTCGAGATTGTATTTAGAAAAAAAAAATAAATTTTATATTATTAATTATAACGAATAAAATTGCGTGTGGCGCCATCTGTTATGAGATTTTTTTACAAAAACTTTTTATATTTTTAATTATTATAGAATGGCAAAAAGCTTAATTTTGAAGGTAGAGTCGAGTTTTAATTAAAAAAAAAAAAAACTGTAAATGCCAATAACGAATAAAATCTCTGTTAACTCCGATCTTACTGGAGATACACACGACCCCTTTTACCTCCCACCGCTTCGACCTTTAACCACCTTCTACGTCTATAACGTCTAAATAGGGGGCCAGTTTCCCGTAAAAGACCTCCCGGAAGTCATCCCTCTCGGCATATCGCCCACGTAACCAAATAAACCCAAACCTGAAAGCCAGGGTCGAATAAAGTTGCGGCACCGTAGAGAATTCTCCATTCCACTTGCCGAAAACTTTGGCCTAAATTTGGCTAATTTTCAGACTTATCACACCTCGTAGTGTTCGTCATTCGATCTACTAGGTTTGATAAGTCTGTGAAAATTAGCCAAATTTATTTAAGCGATATCGTTAAAAATACTGTCGACCCCCCTATAACACTGTTGATTATTCCGTTTTATATGAATTCCATGTAGTACGAGTCACTTAGATTTTACAAATACGTACGCCGGGCTGTGAACGGCTCACGTATTTGTAAAATCTAACTGACTCGTACAACATGGAATTCATATAAAACGGAATAATCAACAGTGTTATAGGGGGGTCGACAGTATTTTTAACGATATCGCTTAAATAAATTTGGCTAATTTTCACAGACTTATCAAACCTAGTAGATCGAATGACGAACACTACGAGGTGTGATAAGTCTGAAAATTAGCCAAATTTAGGCCAAAGTTTTCGGCAAGTGGAATGGAGAATTCTCTACGGTGCCGCAACTTTATTCGACCCTGGCTTTCAGGTTTGGGTTTATTTGGTTACGTGGGCGATATGCCGAGAGGGATGACTTCCGGGAGGTCTTTTATGGGAAACTGGCCCCCTATTTAGACGTTATAGACGTAGAAGGTGGTTAGAGGTCGAAGCGGTGGGAGGTAAAAGGGGTCGTGTGTATCTCCAGTAAGATCGGAGTTAACAGAGATTTTATTCGTTATTGGCATTTACAGTTTTTTTTTTTTTTAATTAAAACTCGNGGGGATAACTTCGGATAAAAATTCGAATCGGAATCAGAGGACGGAAGACGTATTTTGGCTTTCCTCCAAGAGACCCCGTTATCGATTACCGACGAAGAATTCCAAAATGGAAGAATTTCTAGAAGTCGAGGGATTATCTCCGTCGACAATTCAACCGAATTATAAAAAAATACAGGGGATTGGTTTACGTCAACGTCGACGTAACGTCGACGGGCCCTTCGTAGGGATCCGTCTTTGTCCGAGCGATCGATGAGACGTCGTCCGGGAGGCGGTTTCTGTCGTGGAGAATGTTAATCGACGACGGCAAAACGGCTAGATCCCCCCCCTCTTACCGCCGTTCCCGGGCGATTTACTTCCCCTAAACTTCATTTCGGTGGGGGAAAAAGTGGAAAAAAATGTCAGGCCGATCCAATTGGGTGGAATCGATCCGTTGGATTCGAACCGTAAGGGTAGGAGCGATTTTTTTTCTTGGAGAAAAATTAGCGAAGGGATTATTGATAACTAAGCAATAACTCGTCTAACCTCGGCAGCTGTTAGCTTTCCTCAATTACTCACCTACTGTCATAAACTTTCTCTATTAGCCAAAGTTAGAGGAGTGGAAGATGGCACCGACTTTCTTTCATTACCGTTACCTCCATAAAGAACATTACTTATCCGAACGGAGGGGAGAGAGAGCTTTGGACTCGGAGAGAATCCGTTTGGCTGCCCGATAATTAGGCGGGCTTTAAATACGGTATAAAACGAAATTACGGCGGTCCTCTTTATCACGTGGCTCCTCTACGGCTTTAAACGTCTCTTTTTAAAGATCAAATAACGGGGTGGTTCGTCTACCCCACATTTTATATTCTGACAGTCGACCCGAAAAGATGCTCTCTACCCTTTCCGTTCGCCTTCGAATTTCTATATTAAGGAAGGATGATTCGTCCTTAAAACATTTTCCTAATTAGTCGGACACAAATTAAAATTACATAAAAGGATATAGAATATAATTAGCCAGGTTGCGACCGACGTTTTCATCTCTAAAACGTCGAACGTAAACGTCGAACGTGAACGTGAACGTCGAACGTCGAACGTCGAACGTCGAACGTCGAGCGCCGCTGACGTTTACGTTCACGTTC